TGGGCAGCCAATATAGGGGTCTTTTTCCCCCAACACCAGATTCTGTCTGACAGTGGCTGGCAATATGAAGCATCTTCTCCAGCTTCAAGGCCGAGCTCCTTACGGCTCTAGCACGAGGATAATATGTCCAGTACTCGAAACTAATTCGAACCTCATAATTCGTACATTCTATATTAAAAATCCTATTTAAATCCAAATCCTATAAGTGCGTTTATAGCGAATATTCTTAAATATCCTTCTTAAATTATACCGTGAGACTAATACAATTTCTAAGAAACGAGATTATCCGTTTGTTTATTTAATTTCCCCCTTCTAGGATAACCCACTAGTCATATCGGGTTACACTTGTTAATGGTACATAGTGAATATACAAGGGTATAATATATGGATAGTTTAAAGACTTCTTTATGGGTTGGAAGAATCATGTTAATATTTTAATATATATCTACATAGAAAGAAACTTTTGGGGTCACGTTTAGCTTGAAAGTGCATCTATGACAAGTGAACTGACACCACACGTACGTGCGGCGCTTCTAATCTTTTGAATCGAGGAAAAGTACCTAGCTGGTATAATAGTAATTAGGAAGGATATATTCATATCCGTAGTAGTAGCCCCTCTATACTAATTCTGGCCAAAAGATCTGCAATGCGGCTAGCAAATTGTTATTCTCTCAGCATACCTTTCACAGGCACTTGAAAGAAATGACCGTCGACTTTGGCCAGGCAATCTAAAGGAGAGCTTTGTCCATCCTTGGTCATTGGCTTTAGCGATTGGGTCGCTGTTGACCAGCAGGTAATATATTGGCGCTAGACCTAAACTCATGATAAAGTAAATCCATTCATCTATTTTCTGTTAGGTGCATATCTCGGTTTAGACGCAAAATGAGATGACATACCTACTTCCTCCGGTTGCCATCCATACTTCCTCGAGATTTCTTCCCGAGGCATGTGCAAGCGGAGCAAATGTTCTAGACAATTCCAAATTTGTAATATGTCCATAACCTCAGTATATGAGAGACCCCTCTGGTGTCTATAGCTAAAGGGCCTAAATGCAGTATGTGGTGGGAAATGATCGAGGTGTTTATTCGTGTGTGTATGGACTTGTTGTCCACATCCTAACCAAGTTATTTGAGCATTCACATGATGCTCACGACTTTTGCAACAGCCAAATGTCCAACAGAAGATCCAAATTAGGCAAAATGCTTGGTTTAGCTCCTCACGCTTAAAGCTTGACTTTTCACTTAATAACAAAAATCTTGTTATATCAATTTGCTCACCAGCCTTGCATCTTTTAATGATCATCTCTCTTAATTCATCACAAATTCCCCAATCGATATTATAATGAAGGCTAGGTGCGCTAACGCATGGGAGTTGTTCCTCAATATCCTTGTATTTCTCATGCGGTGGGGATTTAGGAAGTGGTTTATTTCTGTGGTCCTGGCAGTATTCGTAGTCATCCCAGCCCATGTTGATAGATATATTATGTATTGATTCTGGATAGCATGGGCTATAGATATTCTTCCTGGTTGCTGATTTAAACAGTGGCTTACTATATATATAATTAAAATAAATCATCTAAAACTCCTGGGTTCCTATTTTGGCATATTTTAGCATTCTAGGGGGACTAGGGTTATAGAACCATAGATGCTTAGAATAGTAACAAAAATAGACATATTTAGTATCCCTAGGTTATTGCGTGGACTAAGATAGGAACCCTATTTATAAAATTACTCAATTGGAAGGTCTACTAAAGAAAAAGGATGCAGTGCTTTATGAGACATAAGGATATAATGTTGTGCTCACTTGCCACCCTAACTCTCTTAGGGGCTCTTCCCTCTTAATCCTTAGTGTGGTCGTCAAAAAGATAGACTTAATATCTACATCCTTCTTATATAATATCTGAGCTATTTAGAAATATTATAGCTTAAAGTTAGTCGGTCGGATTTTAGTGATTTTGATTGAAAGCAAGATATCTTAGATATATATAATTTATATATTTATATATACTAGAAATATATTATCTATTTCCGTTGAGATATTCGAGTTAAAATTTTATAATTGATTGGAAATTTGTAGTGTCGGCAGACTTTTGGCACCCGTTGTATATCTAATTCTGTATATCTAAGCTTGCCGTCCCCTCGAGTCGGACCCACAGTATTTTCACCTGTTGGTCCTCCCCACCGATACGCAAATTCCCACTGATACGCAAATTTTTCTCTTTATTCATCTTCATTATATACTCAGTATGCCAAAATTCGACGAAAATATCGAAAATCGCCTTAATCAGGCCTACGAAGTAGCAAAACGCGATAAAAAACCAAAAATCGCGTCGCTAGCGCGCGAATTCGACGTTCCCTATCATCGACTTCGCGCCAGAATTCATGGTCGTCCACTAAGAACAGCCACTACTCCTACTAACAAAACACTTGACGATTCGCAAGAAAAGGCAATTATTCGCTGGATTCGACATCTTGACTCTCTACAAGTTTCGCCTGCAATTAGTATGATTGAGGACTGCGAATCAAATTTTGAAACGAAATTCTACGAACGACGCGTTCCCTATACCACGCGTTTCGAAGAACTGGATATATCGCTTTATCGAACGCCTTCCACCAGACCCACAGCTGATAAAACAAAAACCAATCGAGAGAAGCCGTATGTAGCTGAAATTGGGGCAAAAAAATATCTATAACTTCGATGAAACTGGTTTCTAACTTGGTCAAGGTAAAGCACAAAAGGTCATTACAGCCAATCCATAGCGAGCACAACGAGGCAATCCTTCGAATGAGAAAGGCGAATCTCTTACATCTATCGAATGTATCGCTGCTGACGGCTTCGTTCTCCCTCCTTATCTCGTTTTTCGCGGCGAATATCATCTTGAACGATGGTATACAACGACTTCGCTCCCAGACGATTATCGCATCGCTACAAGCCCAAAAGGATATACAAATAACAAAATCGCATACGACTGGCTTCAAAAGTTTCAAATTCATACTGCTTCTCGCGCGAAGGGTCAAAAACGGCTACTTTTAATAGACAATTACGGTTCGCAGTTGACGTACGATTTCATCGATTTCTGTCAACAACTCGATATTATTCCGATCTATTTTATACCCTATGCCACTCATTTCAGCCAGCCGCCAGCCATCGATAGCCAACCGTTTAAAGTATATAAACACTATTTTCGAAGTCGAAATAGTGATCTTTCGAGATGGGGTGGCAGCGTGGATGATAAAGCAGATTTTCTTCGAGAACTGCCCCGATTTCGACAGCAAGCCTTTACCCCTCGGACGATTCGAGATGCTTTTAAGGATCGAGGTATTTACCTATTCAATCCTTAGAAAGTCTTCGATAGACTCCCAAAATTAGACTCGCTAATCATCGAAGGGCTATAGCCCTTCGATGATGAGAATATAACTCCCCTACCTCCCTCTAGTTCAACAAACTCGCCTCCTTCATCAATTCGTCGTATACGGCGAAGTATTGATAAAGCGAAGGGTTAAATCGATGAGAGTCCGCAGCTAAATGATAGCTGTCGACGTCGCCTTGATCGCCTATTCAAAACCTCTATCGAAGCTACTGAACTCGCCTCGCATTCGTAGTCGGTTCTCGCCCAATATCTTCGTCAAATTCAACCCAAAGAGGCACCCAAAAGTCGCAGACGAATCCTTACATTAGGACCTCTCTCAGTAAAAGATGCAAATCATCGAATTGCGGACCGGACGACGAAAGAGATGCACCAGAATATTCGACGAGCGAGAAAGCAGGCAGTTTCGCAGCCACCCCACATCCCACAACGAGATCAGAATGGGGAGATATTGGTATCAGAAGGAGAAATGACTACTGAGGACCCTTCGCTATTTTTTTTTTTTTTTTTTTTTGATTCAGTTGGTGAAATTGTTGAATAATTGATGAATCAAGAAAAAATTTGCGTATCGGTGTGGAGGACCAACAGCTGAAAGCTGTGGGTCCGACTCGAGGGGACGGCTATAGGGGTGAGAATGCAGAATAAAGAGTTTTTTTTGTGACTGGCAGAATATTATATATTATATAATATTATGTGGGTCAGGGGGTGGGGTATACAAACTTTTGATCACCCATTGTAATGTCCTGTATGTACATACCCCTTCTGGCCTTGTACAGTATGTAGTACGGCCAAATGCAGGACTTTGCCGTAAGACCTTGGGGCGGATAGTGGAGCCGAGATCAGATGCTAAGAATTCTCTTTTTATCCATAGATGAATAGATATTTCTAAGGCAGGTTTGTACTTACAGTAGCTACAGTGTGGCGGTCAGGTGACTCAAGGGGCATTTTGACCCGGCGGTGGAGCCAGCCATCTTCATCCTCTTGCCCTCCCTCTTTATCATCAGAATCAGACCCTCTTGCTCTGAATTCCATCGTATTACAGTGGCTGTATGTACTGTAGGTACCCGTGGACCTAACACCGGGTATTGATAGGGACACAACAACTTTTTGGCTATTGGCACAACATTTTATTATGTAATATGGATTTTGGGTTATGCAATCTTTTTCAATTTCTTTCTAATCACATGACACTCTCATCCTAACCACCTAATGTAGTGCCAATAGCGAAAATCCTGTAGTGCCCCTACCAATACCCGGATGCTAACCTGTGTCTGAAATTTTTGTACGGAAACATACTTTCCTGCTCATGTATACAAGTTATTGAAAAACAACCTTGACCACACAATCTGCCACGTGGCTCTTATGGAGTTGTCTAAGCCAATAGCGCCGTAGCCGCCTTAAACGTTTCTATTTCGGGCCATCCAGTTAGGTCGTCGCACGTAAAGCCAGCTCATCGAACATTCACAAGCCAAACGCAGCCAAAAGCCGTCAGCTGCCCTTGAGATGAGAAGATATATAGCCCAAATCTCGTTTATTTGATATCAGGACTATCATCATACTCTCAGAGTTTCTCTTCTCTCACATTGTATACAATTTGACGCTCTAAGACAAGTAATCCACGAAGTAATTCGCTATGGCCCCACCAGTTAACAAAAGCGACAAGTTCTATGCGATCTATAAAGGTCGTGTTGACAAGCCTACCATATATTCATCTTGGTAAGATTGGTTCCAACTTGACAAGAGGCGTTTCATGCACTGACATGTTACTTGTCTAGGAGTCAAGCGCACCCAAGAGTCATAGGTTGCGAAGGCGCCGATCATCAGAAGTTCGACACACTCAAGGACGCTCGCAAAGAAATGGAAGAGAGAGGCTTCGAGGATATTGATATATTTGTCAAAAAATCAGCTGAAATAAAAGTCACGCCGATGCGAAAAGGCAAACACTATGCCGTTGCGGGTGGCAAGAATACTAGAGTGTTCACTGCTTGGAAGTAAGGCTCCGTGTTTTGATAATCCAACATAGATAACTCACATGATATAGGGATGCGGAAAAAGCGATCAATGGAACCACCGCGTGCCAAGAATGTTTTGGTACTAAGCAAGAAGCAGAAGAGTTCATTGAGAGTTGGAAAGACGCTTACGCTGACGTATGGCGAAGGGCAATTCGACAAGGATTGGACGAGGGGTGGAAGGTTAGGGACATGAGTTTGAACATTGAATCGTTCTTGCTTAGGGAGAATGACAGCGAGATATTAAGGGAAGATGACCACGAGACAGCCAAAACGGCTCAAGTCGAACTTCCGAAGATTGAGCAATTATCTGTCAAAGAAGAGTACCAAGTATAGAGTGTTCAATCAGGGTTACAATTGTGGTGGGGCTCACCGAGCAAAGGCCAACATGACCGAAGAAGGGCTCTACATGGCGCCGGGTTTGGATTTTTTTTCAACAAATTCAGCAATGAATGTCATGCAATTCTGTCTACTTTGCTGAATCTATAGTTACACAGGTTACGTAGTGTCACCTCACATTGCTGCAGAAAGCCATAAACTACTCAGTAATCTGACAGCTATCCACACACTATTAGTGAAAGTCAGCCCTAGATATGGTGGAGACCCGGTCCAGGTCTGTTAACAAACGCTGGAGTAATGGTTCATGGAAATTGCCATCATAGCGACGAAAGGTTATCAAACTGCAATAACAAAAACAGGGAAGCCCCAGACCAGAGGAAGAGGATCCACCAAGAAATTCATCTAGGCCGTGTTCTCCATCGGTTGCTGTGCCTGTAACCCGGTCCTATAGAGGACCACTAATAAGGTCCACTTCACCCGGCGACACACGCTGCACAGGCAAAAGGAAACTTCGAGTCAAGTCTGCTTGCGAAGTTGACAGCGATGATCCTGACGATAGTGACTATACGGATGGCCTCGATTCTGGTGCTGGTGATGTCGCCGTGTCACCACGTCCAGTAAAGAGGCGGAGGCGAACAGCTGCAACAAAAAACCAACCCACACAGGCTCTATGTGATAGCCTATACGGTATTTTCTCCGCACAGACTCCGGAAGAGGCACTTACGAATCCATATCCCAAAACAAGGTTGCAGAACATGCAAACCATTCCCGTCCGAGGATTTCTCATGCGGCAAACATTCCTATCAAGAGATGTCTATTCGTGTACATTCGAGGAAGATAGGCGACCCTCTTATCCCCATGAGCCAGCGCCAACCAAGACCCCCACGCACGATGAAAGGCTAGACAAAAGCAAAACAGGACAACCCACGCTGCCCAGCAACAAAAATCCATCAGCGCATGGGACTTGGTTCCACCCCGACGAGGACGAACTCTTGATTGAGCTAACGGAAAGGCAAAACATCCCATGGCCCCGGATCGTGAAACATTTTCTAGGAAGGACGAAGGATTCTCCCTAAGTTAGCTATAGCACAAAGCTCAATGACTATACTTTCAGCTAGGCTAGGATCAACAGGAGCTACTGTCGTTTGTAGGACTACAACAAAGAGGAGTTAAGGCCCATAGTCGCAGAAGTCAGAACTGTCATATTTTTAGGTTTCATCGTTTGCACACGATCTTCACGGTATCGCCGTGAGCTATAAGGCAGAACGTCCCGTCAGCTGGGAGACGATACGTCATCTCTCTCTCTAGTTTCGTGACGTCCACTATTAGTGATCCGACTGATAGCATTGTGGTCTGGTCGACAGTCATAATTTCATTAGAGTAGGTACGACTCTGCGCTGCTAATTCGAGTGTCGAATTCTCTATCTCGAAGTAAAGATGCAGGCGGCCGGCCGAGAAAAACAGAGATGAGGCCGTCGGGTTGACGGTACCAGTGGACGGGTCACTAGGCGTTTGAACACAGCACCGAAGTAGTTCAGAGCCGACAGACAGGTACTTTCTCTCCAATAATCCTGCATCTGAGACTGCAAATTTCATGATTCCGGGACCTGGAGAAACGCTAGGGACCGACGTGGTTCTTTCCGTGTTGTTCCGGACTGAGCCATGTACAGAGCTCATTGTCGATGCCGAAGCCAACATAGGAAGCAAAGTACTCACATTCGGGTAGGGTCGAGCATCCACTTGACCTTTGTGTCGAGTCTTAACGGTCTGTCGAGCATAGTTCAGAAGAACTTCATTGAATCGGGGCTCCAGCATTTTAAATGACAATAGCATTGGCAGCTGCCAGCCAGGGTACAATCTCCCATGCGAGTGTGATATGTACATCTTGCCCTGACTACGGATGAACGCATGGCATAGAAAACAAGCGTCCTTGCTGGAAGCGATGGCTCGGGGGAACAGTGGAATATCCTGAATTTCGCAGTAGGCGATCAGCTGGATCTTGGCGTGGATCTTGGCGTGGATCTTGGCTTCCTGGATAATTCTGGTCGTTTGCTCGGAGAACTCGTCGTTTGGATCCTAGGTCTTGTCACACCTTAAGAATCGGGAGATCTGAGAGACGTCATACTGTTTGCCATCTATTTTCCCTAAACGACAGAGCACCACTGAAAGAATAGGCGAGTATTCCGGGTGGTGAGGTCGGTCAAAAACTTCTTTTGGAAGGTTGGCGACGTGAAGCTCAATGTTTCGGACAAGGGGGAATTTTTTGGCAATGCGATAAAGCAGTCGAGCGGCTTCTTTGTATCTAGACACTTTTCGAATTATGTTGTGCAGAAAAACTGCAAAGGTCGACTCCTTGACCATCCTTTTGGGACTGGAGGGAATCAGTTAGAGGAGTTGGTGCAGGCCAAGCATGTTATTTAATTGATATATCATTTCCACGATGATGACGAGACGAGATGAGACACAATGACTAGACCATTCATTGACAGATTAGATCACACTTCTGGACTTCTCTTTGAATACAGTAACGACAAGCTTTTTTCTAGGTCGAATTGGTGGAGTTTTGGGAATTTATCTGTCGAGCGCCTTCTACTGCCTTTTGCAGAATATCTTTGATAGACGCCTTAGATTTTTTCCATTTCTTGCCAGTGAGACGCAACCGACAAGCAATCCGAGAAGAACAGAATTGCACAATTTTCTCTAGAAGTTGCTTCATAATCTCGGTAGAGCTACCTCTCCCTGGCCAGATTTGAATCAGCAGCTACCACGAATGAAGGAGATCAGGTTAACAAGCCATATAGACTTTCGAAGAATGTTAAAGATGTCCTCAAAATCCGGCTTTCAGAGATTGAAGTAGGCCATTTCCATCTATATATGTTCTCTTGTTGATTGCCAGGAGAGCCTTCAGTGCTGCACCGTTAGAGTCCTGCTCAATACACACTGCAGGAATATAATCCGACCCATCTTTGGTTTTGGAAAAAAAAGGAGAGTATCTCCACTAAATCCATTTCTTTTGAGAAGGGAAGTAAGTAGCCATTTGCGGAACCTCGGATACTTCCAATGGGGTTATGTTGTGGTGATTCAGGAACTTTATGGAGTAGATAATTGAGAGCAATATTCTCCGCGCAACTTTCTGCGGTCGTGTGCGGTTAGCGGGTCATCGTGGGAGATTCACGGAAATCAGTGCGGCTGAGAGGTGTAGGATTAGGTCTTCATGAGATCTTAATGAATCATGTGTCATTGTATCTTTATGGTAGGTAGCCAAGAACAAGCGTGATAGATAGGAAACCACTTAAAGTGGCCGCAATGGAAAGAGAGGGGTAACACAGAACTACCTTTTAAATCGGACTGGTCATAATCGGACCAGCAGGGCAAAATCGGTTCCATTGGGCTATGCGGCAAGAGTTGCAGGAACCCCTTGATAAGGCAAATAGTGAGGCGTCCACTCCCAACGATACCGGTGCAAAATTATTTTGCATATCCTAGTCCTTGTGCAGCATCCCCTTGCGGGTTACAGCCAGGGGGCCCAAAAAAAAAAATGCCAAGAGGGGTCCAACAGTCGGGAGAATATTACGCCGAAATTTTTGGGACCCCCCTAGCTCACTAAGTCGACTGGGGCCCAAAAACTAGGTCAAATTTTGGGCCCCGCTTGGCATTTTTTGGGCCCCCCTTAGCTGGGTGGCCCTGATTGTCAAGTGTGCCTCCCGAGGAAAGCTGCGTCGGATGAGAGGTGTCACATGTATTGAATGTACAAACTAATGCATGGTTGAAATTATTATGTAACCCACGTACGAGGAATTACCTATGCAACTTTCGGAAGAACTCTCAATATAGACTAGTGTGTCTTGGCGTAAGGGCCAGGAAAGTCAATCGAAGAGTGTAGTGGTTGCACCAGTTTCGGGACGTAGTGTAATTTATACGGATATACAAAAATGAACGGGAAAACTACTGTACCCTGTTCTGATACATACCGTGGAGAGAGCCCTGTAAATCGTGAGCGACGCGAGAAAGAAAAATGGCGGGACGGGCCGAGACACGAACCCCTGAGCCGCCCGACCGCGATGAACGCGAAGATTCACCCCCACGATTAGCGAGGACGAGACGCACCACAAGACCACCGAACAACTACGCTCAAGAGCAAGAGATTGACACCGAGCAGAGAAAGACACATGCGTAATCGAAGAAGAGACGCCAAGGCAAATCAGTACCCCAACATGACGTGGTATCTTCAGACAACTCCTCGACGGAGAGCGAGGACTTGAGCGCTACTAATCTCTTGAAAGAGCTCGTGAAGCTAAGGAAAGAGATTAGACGACGCGATGATCTGATAAGAAAGAGCTGCAGAAAATCAAACAGCGCAACTCTTGCAGAAGTTCGACAGGAGCTATAGACCCTAGCAGACAGATCCCTGACACCGCAAGCCCCCGCCGAGCCGTGCTCCCAGAACGGCCACGATCAGATCCTCCGCGAAATTCACTCCCTACGCATGGCAACCAAGCTGTCAGATCCCGCCTCGGGATCCCTGTCCTATGCAGATGTCGCCCGTACTCCCCCATCGAGTCATCCGAGCAACGTACGAACCCTCTCATCGTCGAACACGACACCGACCACTTTCACCGACACGCTATATTACACGATAGACACCTTAAAGATGGCAGACAACGGTAACGAAAGGAGGTCCGCAGGCTCTATTCGCACGGCAGTCGAAACCGAAATAAGGACGATGGAAAACCACGTGCACTGGCGCTGTCGTGCTGTTACGGTGGATCCGAAAAACACAAACCGGATCCGAATTGCCTGCCGGGATAACGCCGAGAACCAGCTAGTCAAAACGGTGGCGGAGGCCAGAATCGGGGCGGGAGCCCGGGTGCTTCGTGACGAACTTTTACCCGATCAAAGTCGACAGTGTGAACAAGAGCGCAGTTCTAGACGAGAAGGGTGAGATTCGAGCTGAAGCCACAACGCTGTTAGCGAGGAAAACGACGCCACCGTTGCCAAGATCGCATGGCTCAGCGGGAAGGAAAATGCGAAGGCCTATGGTTCTATGGTTATCTATCTCACTAAGATCCTTGACGCGCGGAGACTTCTGGCCGACGGGTATTTCCATGCTGGAGGAGAATCCGGCGTGACCAGCACCTTTGAACACCGACCGCGACCGACGCAATGCTACAATTACCAGGAAATTGGAAACAAAGCATTCCAATGCAAAAACGCCCAGAAGTGTGCGAGATGTGCCGCGGAGGGCCACCGTCACAGTAGCTGCGACCAAACAGTTCCAAAGTGCATTCCATACGGAGGCCCTCATGAATCGTACAGCAGAAACTGTCGGAAGCTCTATCAATCACGTCATGAATAGAACTCTCCGAATCATCCAACTTAATATGAGGAAGCAGGGCACAGAACACGAGAGTCTAATGAATAATGAAGATACTCAGAACGCGGTGGCGTTAACGATCCAGGAACCCCAGACACGGAGAATCCAAGGCCGGGTCTTGACCACCCCGATGGGACATCACAAATGGGCGAAGATGGTTCCCTCCACCTGGCGGGAAGGCAGGTGGGCGATTCGAAGTATGCTCTGGGTGAAGGAGGTGAAGGCGGAGCAAGTGCCAATCGAGTCCCCTGATATTACGGCAGCGGTCGTCCGGCTCCCTGAGCGACTGATGTTCATAGCATCAGTTTATGTTGAAGGGGGCGATGCCTTAGCTCTAGACGACGCATGCAATCATTTACGCAATGCGATCATAAAGGTACGAGACACGGGCGCGGTGGTGGAGGTGTTGATCATGGGGGACTTTAACCGACATGATCAACTTTGGGGAGGAGACGACGTGTCATTGGGGAGATAAGGCGAAGCGGGTCCAATCATCGACCTCATGAATGAATTTTCTCTTAGCAGTCTACTCAAGCGAGGCACAAAGACATGGCAGGGCAGAGGGCAGAATTGGCGACTGCGAGTCGACTATCGACCTCGTCCTTGCACCGGAGAATCTGACCGACTCCATGGTCATGTGTGCAATACTCGGGACGGAGCACGGCTCGGATCACTGCGCCATTGAGACCTCGTTCGATGCCCCATGGTCCGCCCCAAAGCACCAGGAACGACTCCTGCTGAAAAACGCTCCATGGAAAGAGATCAATGCCAGAATAGCGAACACCCTGGCCGTCACTCAGTGGGAGGGCACCGTGCAGCTGAAGACTGACCGACTCGTATCAGCTGTCTTGGAAGCGGTGAATGCCTTGACACCGAATGCCACACCGTCACCACTCGCAAAGCGATGGTGGACAGATGACTTGACACAGCTCCGTCAGATATACACGTATTGGAGACATCGCGCCCGTTCAGAGCGACGGGCAGGGCGGACGGTACCACGCCTGGAACAGGCTGCCGACGCTGCCGCGAAACAATATCACGATGCAATCCGACAAAAAAAGAAAAAGGACTGGAACGAATTCCTTGCAGATAATGACAACATATGGAAAGCCGCTAGATACCTAAAGTCGGGGGACGACGCAGCGTTTGGAAAAGTCCCCCAGCTCCGAAGAGCCGACGGAACGACCACGACCGATCACACTAAGCAAGCAGAAGAACTACTGACCACATTCTTCCCGCCTCTGCCGGACATTATTGACGATGAGGGAGCGAGACCAGAACGAGCACCCGTAAAAATGCCAGCTATCACGATGGAGGAGGTAGAGCGGCAACTGTCAGCGGCGAAGTCTTGGAAAGCGCCTGGCGAAGACGGTCTGCCGGTGATCGTCTGGAAGATGACGTGGTCTACGGTTAAAGACAGGGTTCTTGATCTCTTCCAAGCATCGCTGGAAGGAGCCACGTTACCAAGGCAGTGGAGACACGCGAAGATCATATTGCTCAAAAAGCCCAATAAAGAGAACTACGGCATTGCCAAAGCATGGAGACCAATATCACTTCCTCGCGACGTTGGGCAAGACTGGAATCGGTGGTTGCAGAAAGGATTTCACACGCGGTGGAGACCCACGGTCTGCTCCCAACTAACCACTTCGGAGCCCGAAAGCAGCGGTCCGCAGAGCAAGCACTCGTGTTTCTCCAAGAGCAAATTTACACGGCGTGGCGCGGTCGACGGGTACTAAGCTTGATCAGTTTTGATGTCAAAGGGGCCTACAACGGAGTGTGCAAAGAAAGACTATTCCAGAGGATGGCGCGAGGTATACCAGAGGGTCTGCTCCGGTGGGTTGAAGCGTTCTGCTCGCAACGAACAGCGACTATCCAAGTCAACTGGCAATTATCTGAGGTCCAAAACCTGCCACGGGCTAGACTGCCGCAAGGCTTGCCGCTGTCCCCGATCTTGTTCCTCTTCTTTAACGCATACCTCGTACAACGACATATCGACAGCCAGGGCGGAGCAATCGCTTTCGTGGATGATTTTACCGCGTGGGTGACCGGGCCAACTGCACAGAGTAATCGGGAAGGTATTGAAGCAATTATCATTGACGCATTTGACTGGGAGAAAAAGTAGCGGAGCAACTTTTGAGGCAGAAAAAGCCGCCATCATACACTTCGCTCCCAAGGCTCACAAAACGGACCATGAGCCTTTCACTATCAAGGGACAGACCGTTGTGCCGAGTGACCATGTCAAGATCTTGGGGATTCTCATGGACACGAGACTCAAGTACAAGGAATATATCGCGAGGGCAGCGTCCAAAGGCTTGGAGGCAGCGATGGGGTTCTGGAAGAGTGTGAATGTCCGTCCACATTTTCACGGCCCGTCTCCAAAAACGGTGTTGTGCAGCGGCAATGTGAGCCTTTGCCTCCGTAACGCTGGTCGTAACTGTGAGAAACGTCCCTACAATTGCTTGCGCTCCCACCTTTTGGACTCGGTTGATTGGTCCGTTGGCCTTGTCCTTGCAAGCATGCATCTAGACAGTAGAAGCGTAGTCTACCACCGGGACCACCGTTGATGTGAACAGCTACCATGCGGTTGCTGGCGTTAGGCCACGAAGTCGCCGAAGCTCCACCTACTACGGAGGAGCACAGCCTACATAAAGAAATTCAGGAGATACCACCGTTCGCTGCTATACCAGGTAACGGACGCACTGAAAAACATTGAGATAGAGACACTGGAAACCATCAATCCGTTCATATTAGCACCATGGGAGACTCCCATGTCGACCGATGTTGAAGCAATGCCGGGCTCACAGACTTCACCTGGCGGTCAATACAGATTATAGTCAGCAGCTTAGCACGGAACCGCCTCGTAGGTTTTGGGGTGGCGATCAAGAAGCAGCCGCCTCGGTATCGAAAGTTGAAACTGAAGACCTTTCCGTGACACTAGGCGCAAGATCAGAGCAAAATCCATTTTCCGCGGAGCTAGCAGCAATGGCACACGTGTTGAACATGCTTGTGGGACTGAAAGACTACAGGATCATGCTGCTCACGAGCAACAAAGCGGCCACCCTTACGATAGGGAATCCTCGGCAACAGTCAGGGCAGAAGTTCGTCTGCCAAATTTACAAGTTGATGAAAAGACTGCAGAGAAACGGAAACCACACTAACATTTGGTGGGTCCCTACCAGCAAAGACAATAAACCACTAGGACTGGCCAAGGAGCAGGCCAGGAATGCGACCCAGAAAGATGCCGTCCCGCAAGGATCGGTCCCCAGAATGAAGTCGACAACACTGCATCTCGCTCGGTCTCAAGCAGCTACGAGCAATAGCTTGCCAGAGAATGTAGGGAAACACGTGAAACGAGTAGATACAGCACTGCTAGGAAAGCACACTCGACAGTTATATGACCGATTATCGGGGAAGGAAGCGAGCGTGCTGGCCCAGCTCCGGACTGGCATAGCCAGACTCAACGGCTATCTCTACCGAATCAACGTTGCAGACACAGACCAGTGTGCATGTGGGCAAGCAAGAGAGACCGTAGAACACTTCCTCTTTCGATGTCGGAAGTGGGCCGCACAACGAACAACGCTATTGCAATGCAGCCAATCTCACCGGGGCAGTCTCTCCTTCTTTCTGTGAGGAAAATCGCCCTCTGATAATCAGCAATGGACACCGAACTTGGAAGCTGTGCGAGCCTCAATACGATTCGCAATCGCCACGGGCCGACTTGAGGCCACCTAATCACGTCGACCAACACGACAACACCATGCCCCCTCACCAACCTACATCTACCACCTTGTGCCAAAGACGGTGGACACGCTTCAACTGCCGAAGATAGGATGTTGAACACCTGAAGAAGCTCCTTCAAGCCAGTCTACTAACCAAATTACTAACCCACAAGGATCCCTGTGATATTGAAACCTGAGAGGACACATACGGCAATGATCCTTGTATGGGCTCAAAGGAGACACGGCATATGTATATTAAGACCTGTATGGATAGAATCAGTTTTAGTTGCCCTTTCGGCTTAGCTGCCGGGCGTTAATGAAGTGTGTGTGTGTGTAATTCATGCGCCAAATGTCGATTCAGGCCTGTCTGGCGTGCCAATTCCCCATTACCCCCCTCCTCCCCCCTTTTTCTCTCTCTGCATCGAATTCGCCGCAGCGCATTGACGCGAGAGCCTAACCTCGCCGCCGCTAGAGACCGGAATAGTGTGAATACAGTGAGTCAGCGGCTTGCCGGTATGGGCCCGGGTTTATTTGCTGTCGTCGACTCGGGCGCGCCTTCTCGGGCCATTCTAAGTCTATTCCCGCATCCCCGTGGTCGCCCCTGGCACTTCAACCCGTTCCAGTGGTTGCAGGAAGTTCAGACAGCCCGTGGCGAGTGGAAAGCGGGCCGTCCGCGCCACCTGCCGAGTGTCCGTCAACGCCTGTTGCAGGTCCCGGGGGTGGTCGCCATTCCAGGTGTCGTCTCGGAGGTCGTCGTATTCGGGGCAGCGCATAATAAGGTGATGCACTGTTTCGGGGGCTGTGCCGCGTCGGCACCGGACGGAGTCGGCCCGGTAGATACTGGCGAGATAGACCTTGAGCCCAATTTTGCCCGTTGGGGCCTAGAAAGGGCACTCGCCTGCGGCGCAGTAAGGCCCTCATAGCTCTTCACTCCGCTTGCCTTGCCTTCTACCGCTGGTAGCCACTGTCGTAGGAAGCCCCCATATTTCGCGTCCTTCCAGCCTTGCTTCCATTATGCCACCACACTCTGCTCCACCAAGCTATCAGCGATGTCGGGCAGGCAGGCTGCCGGTTCGGTGTGTTGACTGTTTGGCCGCCAGCCAGTGGCCTGTTTCGTCATTTCGTCGGCGAATTAGTTGCCCGCGACGTCGAGGTGCGCGGGGATCCAGCGGAACGCCGTGGCGCGGCCCAGTTTGGCGGCGTCTGACCAGCAAGTCGATGATTTCGCGCATGATATACTGCCCGGTGCCGATACCGGGGGACTGCAGGCTTCGCAGTGCGCCTTGTTTATATGTCCAGATCTCTACAGTATGCCAGGCGCTGTCCTCCGCCATCCGGAGCGCCAGCACCAAGCCCGTTAGCTCCGCTACTAGCATCGTGTAACTCTCTCTCCGTCCCCATGCATCCTTGCCGGACGGCCATCGGGTTCAGGCTGACCGCCGCCGCGCCAATATGTTTGGTGCCGCTGCCTGTCTGGATGCCGGAGCGGTCGGTGTAGATGCGGCGGGTGCCGGGTATGCCAATGAGCCGAATTTCATGGTCCACCATCGCGCTGATTTTGCTGTTTTCGACGCGAATTGGCGGCGGCTGCCACCACTAAGCGACAGCGAAGGGGAGGCGGGTTTCGAGGGTATCGAGGTCGAATCTGGTGAGGGTGATTCGTCGATGGCGAGTTATATGGCAGTTCGGAGGTCTACGCTTCGGTGGAATCATCTTCGGTCCGTGAGGGCCTGCCAGATTGGTGCGCTGGCCAGGCGGATGATGGTCTGCTGTGTGCCTTTCGCATGCGTAAGAGGTTGGAGTTCTGTGTTGAACGCGTCCCTACCCGTGAGGCGAACCTCCCCTGATGTCGCCTTGCCTGCCCTCCGTTGGATGTTCTCCAGCGTCGCCACCTGCTTGTCGTTCTACTTCATCCGCCCCTGGACCCTCGGGGTGTGCCATACCGACGCGGCACAGGTCATGATGGGAGCGACACAGGCGTCGTAGATGTGACGCCGATCTGTCACGCTGAGCCCACAGTTGGAGCCCCCGAGGGCGTTGATGGCCTGGAGGCTTCGCGAGGCGCGCGCGTCGACATACTCGAGGTGTTTGTCACATCAGAGATGCTCATCGAGAATAACGCCGGGCAATCTCGCGGACCTGCTGACTGGCACAACCCGTCCGTTTCCAAGGTCGAGGATGGTGGGTTCCGAGGGCTGAGTGCTGTGGGGGGCGCTTTGTTGTTGCGGTGGTGCACGAACCGCGGGTTGCCAGTCCGGGTCCTCGCTATCGTCATCCTTGCCCGAGTTCAGGTTATAGCCAGAGGGGGGGCAAAAAATGCCAAGAGGAGCCCAACGATCGGGGAGATATTACGCCGATTTTTTTTAGATCGCCCCTGGGTCAACTAAGTCGACAGGGTCCCAAAAATTTTTACACAATTTTATTATTATTTGGTACTCATATCTACTTATTTATTAGATATCACGTGGTATTTTCATTTTGCCTTACTCCAATCTTTTATTAAAATATGCTTATATTACTATTGTTTTAGAAAGAATAGAAAAAATAAATAAATAAATAATAATAATTCTTCTATTAAGAATATTAAGATTTTTTTTTCTTAAAAAGTAATTTTTTTATTCTTATTTTTTAATAAATTAATTTTTTTTCAAAATAAATTTACTCCGTCTGAAGATATTAAAAAAAAAATTTAATTTTTGATTTTTAATATAAGTTTATTCGGTCGGAAGATATTAAAAATATTTTTGTTCGCTGAGTTCCGACAGTAAATGAGACAGCCGACGGATTGACGCAGCTTATTCCCCAGCAGAAGCATGCCAGCTTCGGCAGACAGCTCGGGATCGTCTCATCGACCGTTCCTACAAAAGCTGAAGCATCGATTTGGAATATCTAACCGACAGACGAATGAGAAGAACTCCTCGTCGCTGGTTCGACAAACAACATTTTTTTTAAACTCCGAAGTCTACAGATGAATTAAGGATAAAATAACCATAATAAGTACCGTGAAGATGAAAAGATCTGTTTAGACCTCAAGTCAATATGAAAACAAGTCAATAAATGAGCAACGAAATAGGGATAGAGATAGAAACAAGGCCCAAATCTATGTATTCAAAGTATTTGCGTTCTCTGCTAACCGTGATTACTCACTATGCTGTGGAAAATATCGTCGGATGTCTTGTGTTGGAACAAAAACTTACCCTTTCCCTCGTATGCCCACCTATCTTTTTGATAAAACCGCCATAGCTCAATAAGCTCTTCCTTAGTCCACCTGTTGTTCTTATTTCGAAGAAGACCATGTACGATATCCTCCTCCAGCCAGCATGAATAGTTGGTGAATGTTACCCTCTCACTTAGACCATGCTCTTGATGTATCTCGGGCTCTCGTCTGAAGACTTCAAGACCATTAAAATAGTCCCATCTCTTGTTGAAATCCCAGGATCCACCTATTTCGGCCCATGTGTCAAGAAGGAGGAGCTCGATTAGATGTGGCGGTTGCAAGTGGCGGATGACAGAACTCTCCCACTCCATTCCTGGTTGCATGCAATCACTCAAGGGTGGTACGGTTCTTCCATCCCACAAAGTAGATATACTATTTGCTTCATGGAGTACCGTGCTACCGATAAACCCCCAAACAAACTGGGAGACCTCCAGTATATCCAATTTGGCAGATAGGGATCTCTCTGGGTTCTTTCGCATAAGCCGGAAAATTTGCTTGAAGTGGCAATTATACTCCTTGACTGTTCGATACCTGAACCTCCAGGAAATACGATATATCTCTCTCGGGACCCAGTGGGCTATTAATGCTTCATAGAAGCGCTCATAGGCTTCCTGTTTTTTCTCTGTTTTCAGGTGAGGTAACAGTTCCCAACCAGCGACCCTTGGTCTTAGAAAATGCTTTTTTAGCCGATGACCAAGCCTGTAATTCTCCTTTTTGATCGAGGGGGAATGAATATAGGATCGCTTGATTTCCGGATGGCAGTACAGATCAAACAGTAACTTCATAGCATGCCAGCGACACACTATTTCCCAGACATCTATACCGGATCGATTTAAGATTGACACAGAATCTTGCGTTGATGTAATAAAATCCGAGTGGACTTTTTGGAGCCAGGAAAGCCGGTAATCACATCTGTGGTGTGGTGCATTTTGCTATATGGTTGATTTGGTATATTAGCGAAAACCTGAAAGAGCTAAGCGTAATCAAATCAACAAAGGAAACATAACATAGATAAAAGGAGAAGAAAGGTCAAGAGGTTTCAATAGTACACCCACAATTATGTTGCCCCAGATTTTTTCTCGATGTTTATATGGTGTAAAGACACCATACAATGCTTTGCAGGTTCTGGCTAGATGAAGCGCATCATCAATGTTTCTTAGGCTCATAAATATTTCTAACAAAATTTCAGTCGGTAATATAGATAGTTTTCTCATTATCAAACAAGGGAGGATGAACAGGAAAATAAAAATCACTAGCTTGAGAAAGTGGCAGCACTCAGTATTTATGAATTGTCGACTTAAAAAATTACGAGAAAAAGCGGCTGCGTACTGCGGCCTTTTTCTTACCACAGCATTTTTAGCTATTGGACCGTCGTAGCGAAACGCCGATTCTTCGAATATGTTCAAAATTAATTTAACAAATTCGCCAAATGAATCACAAAGAAAATTGTAGAGGGTTTTCAGTAGCCAATTCGCCTTCTCTGATATCGATATGTCTTCATTTAAACCTGGTTGTGGAACCTGGGTGGCTGCGAAGCTGCCTGCTCCCTTCTTTTCAAATATTCTGGCGCATCTCGTTCGTCGTACGGTCCGCAATTTGATGATTTGAACCCTTCACTGGGAGATTCCTAATGTATAGGTGTTCGTCTGCGACTTTGAGGGGGTTTGTGAATTGGGCAAAAATATTGTGCGAGGGTGGTGGACTGGGACCGCGGAGTTCATTTGGCTTCGATTGTACTCTCGAAAAGGCGATTTAAGCGACGTCGACAGCTATCGCTAAGCTGCGGACTCTCATCGATCTGGTTCTTGGCTTTATCGATGCTCCGTCATGGGCCACGAATCGACTGCAGCGGCGAATTCGTCCCACTTGAGGGAGGTGGGAGAGTTAATTTCTCATCCAGGACGCTACAGTATGGCCTTGTACCATCATTACGGGTAACCGAGTCTCTTCATTACGATGACAGCTAATCCGAGCAGGATGAGATCACCTGTGAGCTGCTGGAGGGTCAAAAGCGATCGACCGGCCTGAATTGGCCAGCCGTGTCTTCGAATTAAAGAAGGACGTGTTACAGCAGGTGTACAAGAAGCAAATGTTTAGCAGGTCGCCCGCACGGTTCTGGACCATTGAACATCAGAAGCGCGGGCTACCGTATATGCATCTGCTACTCTTTCTCGACGACCGTGAGCAGTTCTTTCACTCCGAAATAGTCGACAAAGTGGTCTGCGCGGAGCTGCTAGAGCCTCAGACAGACCCAACGCTATACTGTATCGTCCGCAAGTGTATGGTCCACGTCTGCGGCGGGGGCTGTGAGCGAAGAGAGCAGGGAAGGTGCCGTATTACTCGAGAAAAGAACTTCCTATTCGACTTTCAGGGTAAGACTGTCCGTGCGGAGCAAGGCTAACCCCATTATCGACGCCGCAACGTGCCCGCAACCGCGTTTACGAAGTATGTAAGGGGCCGCGAGGTGGAGGAGTACCTCGAGAGACCTTATATCGAGCCGTCCGAGGCCATCTGGAGGCTGCTGTTTTTCCGCGTGCATCAAAAGCATCCGGCTGTCATCCCGCTCGCAGTCCATCTGCCGGGCAAACAGCCTGTAAGCCTTCCCGTCGGCACGTCGCGGGAGCTGATACGGCGTCTGATGGCGCATGCATGGAGCATATTGATGGGCTATTTCGAGTACAACGCTGAGGCGTGGTGTGATGATAGGCCAACGTATCTCTACCAGGACATGCCCACACACTGCATATAAGCGAAGAGTGGCAAGGTGTGGCGGGAGCGGAAGTAGGGGTTCGCAGTCGGCCGTATGGACCGGGTCATGTTAGCCCGCGACAAGGTCCACGATCCTTTGTACAGCTGCTCCTGACGAGTCGGGTGGGCCCGACGTGTTTCGACGACCTGCGGACCGTTATCAAGGCGTACATTCCCGGTCGGGCTGACCTGGCGAATATCATGAAAGAGGCAGTTATCACCGAGGGAAAGGGCAAGGACCGGCGAGTGGTGGATTTTGTGTGGGGCCTCGCCAAGAAAAGATCTTCAATCGAGTCAAGGAGTGCCTTCTGGGGATTAAGCTGGCAGGAGGGGACCCGAACATCCAATACCACTTGGCAACTGACGCCTCGAACAAGGGGTTGGGTGGAGTGTTGTTCCAGATGCGAAATCAGGATCCGGTGACGAAGGCGTCATGTTCATGTCTTTCGCATTGACAGATGCTGACACCCGCTACCACACGACCGAAAAGGAAGCACTGGCAGTTCTCCGCTGTCTGAACGAAACTTGATGGTTGATCAAGGGGTCCCGCCACCCAACGATGCTGTACACGGACCACATTCGTACTACCACATCGCTCTCAAGTCGGTGCTGGGGACGAACTCGGATACCACTGGCAGATTCGCCCGGGGGCAGGTCCGAATGCAAGAGTATGACCTCTGCATTAACCACGTGCCGGGCAAGACGCAGGTCGTGACAGATGGACTATCGAGAATCCCCACCGACAGGTGCCAGACACGGACGAGGACTGTTTCACGATGCCAGCGATGTCAGCGGTGGTGACAAAACACCCGGTCGAACCGACCAGAGAACGGGAGCTGTTTTCGAAGTACCAAGATGACCCGTGATATCATGACATCGTGAACCGCTTGCTGGACAATAGTCGAATTCCAAGAGATCGCCGCTTCCACCCGATATGCCTAGAAAGGATTGGATATCTGGCCTACCAGGAATCGAATGGAAGCTGGCAAGATGTGTTCAAGAACTGGAAGTTTCAGACGTCTTGAGTGAGCTTCACGATATGCACGGTCACTACGCGATCCGCATCACACTGGGGAGGGCATTGGAACGGTATTGGTGGCCTACTCGAGCTGCCGATATCAAACACTATTGCTCCTCTTGCCACCATCGCCAAGTGAAAAAAAAAAAGCGAAACCCCATGCAGCCTCATTGATGGATCCGATGGATATGTTTGCGATGGACTATCGGACCATTCAACCCTGTGTCTCGAGGAGGGAATATGTACATCCTGATCGGAGCTGATGACATCAGTCGATTCACATTCACCAGGCCTGTTCCGGAGGCAACTGCAGACGCCACATTCCAGTTCTTGCGGGACGATGTTGCCAGGGTAGTTAGTGGGTTGGCGAGCCTCCGTTTATTCGGACCAAGGGAGGCGCTTCACCGACAAGGAGCTGACCCGGAAGACGGGCACCGTTGGTGTTAGGCATATCTATGCTTCAGCACAGGCACCATGGTCAGTGGGGCTAGCGGAGCGAATCGTCCGGCAGATGGTGGTGTCGCTTCGGAAGTTGGCATCGCAAAATCCTGATGTCATCTTCCACTGGGACCTGTACGTTGGGCTGGTGGTGCATGCCATCAACACGCGGACCGGACGATGGAGCCGCATGGGTATAGTCCAGCACTGATTTCCTATTTCAACCTCGAACCGTGGGCCCGTTGTCAGCAGCAGAGCAGAAGCTGGCGGAGTTGATTGAAGGCAGTTGCCAGGACCTGCTGCTCCCTGAGGACCTGGATCTGGGAACTGGAGGACACCTGGCGCGTCTGGAAGAGATGAGGGAGATGGTGCGGGAAGTTTTCGAGGGGAGGGAAGCAGTCGGGGATCGAGCCCGTGTGAGGCGATTCGAACCTGGGGATCTGGTGCTGCTTCGCCGGAGCCAACTGGATATAGCACACATGGCAGAAAGCTGGAAGCGAAGTGGGCCTGTCCATATTGGGTGTGTCATCTCATCAACAAGAGGAGGTCAGCAATTCTTGAGGATCTCACGTCTGGCCTGCCGATTGGGAGATACCACATTGGCCATCTGAAGAAGTTCATTGCAAGAAGAGTTGATCAGGAGGAAGAAGCGAGGGAGTTGGCAGCTCGGAATATGGAGCAAAAGGGGTTGATGGAGCATCATATGCGAGAGTACCGCCGCCAAAAGTGAGAGATGAAGTTGAGAGGAAGTAGGAAGCAGCTGTAGATTAGGCAGCTGAGGCGAGTTGGGTGGTTGATCTCTCCTTGATCTACCTTCTCGTTACCACTCCGACACTCACAACTCCCCTCCCCCACCTTCTCTCATCAAGTTGACGACACTTCTCAGTCCGATCCTGACCCTGACGTTGATCAGCGCCTACCCACACTGAGCTGCCGTGGAGCAGCGAATTTCACCTCTTTCACCAACCGCAGGATTGATCTCACCTCACCGCAGAGTTTGTCTCGACTTCGTCCAATACCTTTGTCCAGCATCACTTTCACCTCTTACCAACGCCCTTCGCACCGAACTACATCTCCCCCCCCCCCCCCCCCCAACTATTTCAGTCGTCCCTTATTGCAGACCTTAAGTCAGGGCGTAGTTACCTACGGGGTACCACGCAAAGATTTCCAGATTCCATCGACAGAAGAAGGCAGAACTAAGGGCAACGTCAACCCCCGACAACAGACGGGATTGCGACTCTCGAGTGACGGCGAAGTGAGGAGCCGGCGCCGAATTTTGTCGCCCCAATCCTGTTCCGAGCTATCACAGCCAACCTCTGGAGTACTCCGGATCTACAAGACGCCCTCCGCCGAATCCGCCAGCAGAGCCCGGAAAGGATGGCAAAGACAACGAAGAGGGCGAAGAAGGGAAGGAAGGCTGATCCAACCCCTGCTCCTGAAACGCCAGCCGACGCTGCAGTTGCAAGAAAGCCCGGAGAAAAGGCAGATCTGAAGAGAGAGGAAGGTCTACCTAAGAAGTTTGCGAGTCTCTCGACAGCGGAACGAGCGATTAGGAAGCTGACGGAAAGAGAGTCTCAACCTTGTCCCCTTTACGCCTACTGCCAGAGGTCATTTCCGACAGGCATTCTCTCAATTCTGAAAACTGACCGCGGAAAAGAAGCATCTGGCGGTGGTAAGGAATGCTGGCGGATTTTTCAAGTTCAATGAGGGAGTTCGGAACAGTGCGCACAAAGACGCAGTTCCGAAGGAGAAAAAGTCTACGGCAACTCAACCTGCCACTCAGCCAACAGGAGCTGAGAAGAGGAGAAGGTATCCAAGTCCAGCTGGGCGATGGCAGTGCAGCCCAAAAGGGGAGTGAACCTGGTGAAAATAAAAGCGGAGAAGAAGAGGAAGAGGAGGAATCGGGCGAGAGGAAGGGGTGCGTCGAGGAAGAGATAGACGATGAATAATAGCTGGAGATTGAGACTAATAGTTATGGGGACCTGTAAATTACTATATCCGGTTAGTTTTGCCGTTTCCGGTTTAGCGCCCCAATACGCCGTCTTGTCACCTCTCCCCTCCGTGGCTCCCAACATAAAAGACCCCACCTCCCTCTGTCCTGATTTCTTCCTCCATCTTCTTTCTTTCCACCCCGTCTACTTTGCACTCACTGCTGTGCCCCTGCGATTTGCCTCGTCCAATCGGATTCCCCGTCAGCCCCGCCCGGCTCCCTTTTTTCTTTTCGGTCGCAAACTGCGGCTGAGCTTTTTGCCTCCACCTTGAGCTCTCCGTGTCGGGGTTATTTTATTTTCGACTTTCTGCCTACGCAAGTGGCGCCGTGACGAGGTTGCCCGGCTTTGGGGGAAGCCATGTCCTGAATTGCGCCTCAACTTTTCGCGAACTACTCACTCATGTTCCGACCGATGCAGAATCAATCAATCAATATTTTCTCTCACCGATTGCTTCCTCAACACAGTTCGCTCGTTCCACTATTTCCCGAATTTGCCCTCTGTCCTTTTCCCTCGATGGCCTTTGTGGCCTCCTCGATTCGCTGATTTACCACGCCACCTTGCCCGCCCTGCTGCTCCGTCCGTGTGACCGGCTTCTTTACGTCTACCCTGTCCTTGTTCTCTGCCTTGGTTCGCGGATTGGTTGTCTGGTGGCTGCAGATGCTGCGCCCTGTTACAACTATCCAATGGCAAAAAAACCTCATCGATGATCCTCTCGGGCTCGTGTTTGAACCTGGTGGCCTAGAGCGAGCAGTCACTGCCGATCAGCACCGTCGAGCTCTTGACCTTGAGAATCCTGTTTGGACCCGAGAACAACGAAAATACTTGAGCCCATCGATCCAGCATTCCCGAAGCGTAATACTTGCCCGGCCTCTGAGCAGATCCAAACAATAGAAGATATTGCTGGGTTTCTTGCCAGGCAGATACCCCTCCTAGGCCTTTCGCTTCCCTGTGCAGCAGATCCACCCGCTTCAGCCAAGCCGACATGATGTCAAGGACACGTTGACGCTTAATCGTCTGAGAACAGGGGCAGGAGACTGATCTGCAGCATCGGGGCTGTGTGATGCAACCTCAGATGGGGCCGAGCAAAGCGAGGCATGCGGAGTCGGGCGCATTACCACCCGATTGTCGTCATCGTCGGTCTCTCCAGCTTTTGTAGATGTGTTTTTGAATCCACCACAGGTTGACACCCGCCAATGGCGAAAAACAACGCAGTCTCGCCTGTTATCAGCTGATGCTTCATCCCGAGGCCAAAGATGGCCTGCGACTGCGCAATCCCGCCCATGATCATGAAGTCACTTAAGAAATGGAGACCGGATTGACGACCACAGTGGGTCTGGATGAGGGAGTAACCAGCGAGGCTGATGAGGACTGTGTCCGATGTGACTGTTTTGATCAGCGGGTGCGTGGAGGGGTTTCTTGACAGGTCCAAGCTTACCCCCTTGATTCTGAACGAGCCCGACGAACGGTTTGAACTGGCCAAAATGTATGGTGAGCAGGAGAGGCGCTCCACTAAAGCGCCGTCGAATCACCTTCCTCCGAGCCTTTCTTACCCCCCCCCCTCCGAATCGTCTGAAACGCCGGTTTCCATCCCCATTGCCGCATCGTCAACCCCCGCGGAACTGCCCCAGCAGGCCGGCTCGCACCATGAACTAGGCTCCTGGCTCAGCAGCACTTCGCAGCCAAGCGACATCGACATGTCCTTTTCGAAGAGATCGAACCGCAGGTCATGCCGCTCGTCCTCCCACCGATCACATTCTATCAGAACATACTCGATCGTCTCCCGACCGGGGCCACACGTACACTCGTCGGATTCCCTCACATTGATCTTGGCGAGGTAGGCAGCAAGGCCAATTTTACGGTTCGTAGTTGCACCATAATTGAAGCCGTTACTTTGTCCCAGCCCGAAGCGGCCGGGTCCGCTACAGCAAAACGACTCGCCCGTTGCTCAATCTTCTCCTGTTGCCCCCGCCATTCATATTGAGGAGTGGGTGTCAGAAAATAACCGACGGAGCTCAGAATCATCAGAAAGCTCCTCGCAAAGGGGACACGAGAATAGCACAGCCACTGTTGAGATCAAGGAAGAGAAGTCGAGTGACTTCAAACAGCATCTAAACCTATAGCTGTTCAATCAGTCCGTAATAGATGTAGATGAGGAGAAACAGGAAAGGGAAGGCAAAGATCTCGGCAGCTACGATAAGCAGAGCTCCAGCGGCGACAGCGAATCCAGTAGTGCCAGTGATACCAATGATTCCAGCGACACCGAAGAAGAAGGGGAAGAAAATCATAGAGAAACACGAACAGAGTGCCAATATACACACCTTGTCCAAAAGTATTTACCCACCCCACTTTTTAACATTCCCCATCAAATATATATATCTACTATACATAGCGCTACTACCCCATTTTTTATGCTAATTGGATCCGGTAAAAAATATAACCAAGCGAGATATCCACACAATAAGATTCAACCCTAATATTTGGTATAATAACCCCTAGCCTTCCGCACCGCCTCCAAACGTCTACCTATACTAAGGATTAAACCATCGATTTTGTCCTGCGGAATAGCCTCCCATGCGTCTACCAGATATCTCTTGAAATACTGCCAATCACTCTTACTCTTACCCATATCTAATAGCTCTGGATGCAGCTGAAAAAAGCATGATTTTTAGCCACTTCTTGTCAGGTTCAATAGGGTTTAAATCAGGCGAGTGCGGAGGCCAGTCTTCGACCCAGATCCCATGATCTTCGAACTACTCTCGCGCCACCTCTGCTGTATGGATTCTTGCGTTATCTTGCTGGAAGATTTGACTAGGGTTATAGTAGGGAATCAGACCTTCGAGTACTAAGATATAAGATCTTACAGTATAACCTTGCCCCGATGGCGAGTTATCGTCTCGGTCTATAATAATCAACTTTGAACGGCCTCCAAGCCAGATTGTACCCCAAACTATTTGCGCAATATCTTTGACGTGGACTTTTGTATTAACGAGGTCTTTTCGGTAGGTCTTAGAGATTAAATGGAAGCAATATTGCTGTCCAATATTAGTACTCTGTTGGATATAATACTCATCTGAAAAAATCCACCGAGAAAAATCTTCACGACGCCATCTGCGAGTGAAACGAGCTCTCTGGCGAGCAAGAACCATCGAAATAGGGATCTTTTTCTTTGAGAGCCGCTTTGAGAGACCCTTTTTCGCTAAAATCCTCCTGATTGTAGACCGGGATGGATTTTCAACTAACGCTGCGCTAAGTTGTTTATAGGTCCAAAAGGGATGCCGACGAGCTAGAATAACTAGAAGGTTTGTTCCGCGGATACTGAGTAGCCTTGGACGGCCGTTTCGAGGAAGGGAATCGAAGGTTTGGTACGTTTCGAAGTGTTTAATAGTGTTGAATATTGTCTTGCGGCTACACAAAAAAATCATTGGCTAATTTTGTCTGCGAAATACCGTTTTTGGAGAGGTGATAAATAGCTGATCTTTGCTCAGATGATAGCTCTGGGCCTCGTGTACGCATAGCAAAAAACGCAATAAAAACCCGACTGGTAGAGAGGTTGTAAAAGAAGAGGGGTTGGTTGTTGGGGTGATTAAAAAAGTGGGGTTGGGTAATTACTTTTGGACACCGAAGTATTCTGGCTTGTTGCAACAACTTCAGCCAAGTAGTCGACGGTTTGTTGACCGACGGGAATTTCCCGAACAAATCAGTAAAGAGAAAGTGCAGCTACAGTATGGATCCGCGAGGCCGAGGCTATTAGCCAGGAAAACACACGCCCTATTCGCTAGGAGCGCTGGAACAACAATGCCGTGGCGAGTAAGGCGTCAAATTCGTATCTGCTCGATGAAAATGGTCTTGCATGAGTCTACCAATCAGATAGCAGCACGTGATGGATCACGTGTGTACTTAGTTCTCTGGGCGAGTAATCATCCCCCCTTGATTTCTCATGGGAAATCTCGCCTTATGCCATCTTGTTTTACTCCGTGTTTGTTCCATTATGAGGGCACTGCGATGGTTGCACTGGCCTATATGGTCCTCCATTTGGAACTTCACCTCGAATATTTCCATTTATGCTTTCTGGCCGCTCAGACGCCTCTTCCTTTCATTTTCTTCGACGGCAAAAAAGGGAGAACGCGATAATGACGAAGAGCAACTGCAATCTGTGAGTTTCTCATTAGATTCAGGGACTTCTTTCTCACTAGACTCTTTAGGGCGTCGGCCAGACTTCCGAAGATGGCTCTCACAAGATTACTATTCGACGGGCCGCCCAACGCCCGGATAATCACAAGCTCTTGATCATTGGAATCTTTGCCGAAGTATACCTTGTGGACAACAAGATTATCAGAAAAGTCCCTCGCAGTGAGAGTGAAGAAGATATGCAACCGATCATCCGCGAAGCTATGGTGTATGACACTCTCGGCGTTCATCCACGAATTGCTGAATACCTCTCCAGAGGCAGATCCGACTATATCGACATCAAATACTATCGACATGGCGACCTTGCGAATTATTGTCAGAAAAACACAGTCGCTGCTGAACTTCAATCAAAATGGTTCCAGCAGATCCTAGAAGCTATTGTCGTTATTCACAGCCATAGTATCATTCATTCCGACCTTGCACTGCGGCAGTTTTTCCTTGATGACGAATTTAATATACGACTCGGCGACTTTAACTCTTCTCAGTGCCCGGGCTATCTAGCACTGGGTTACGAAAAAGCATCACATTGCCTGCCACGGGATTATGACCTTCCGAACACTGAAATTTCCGACCTCTTTGCTCTAGGGTCTACACTATACGAGCTAGTTGCTTGCAAGGCCCCATACAGCGAACTTGCCGGGCCTAAATCCGATGATCCGGATGTGATCAAAGCACAAATCCTACGACAGCACGAGGTGGACCATGAGATTGAATTGAGATACAAAAACCACATGTTTCCCGATGTCTCTGGTTTGTTCGGCGGGAACATCATATTAGGTTGCTGGAGAGGGGATTTTTCTGACGCAAAAGAAGCGCTTGATCTGTATAGAAGTGGTTAATTTGCTAACGGGAATATTATTCAGTGAGAATGGTTGGTTCATTGGAATTCATATCTCGAAATGCACTTTGTCAGTCTCCCCATTTTGTTTGTATGTGTCTACTTATAGGCGAAGTTGGTATACAGGGAAATGCCCATATTTGCATATCATTGATTCACGTCTAACCAAGAATTTGCCAAAGACAAAGCAAAAAAGTCATTGTCTTTAATCAATTTCTTATGAGTTCTTTGAACCACAATTCCCGACCTGAACCGCGACAACCATAAAATCTTCATATTTCCGATAGCTCTGTATCGCGAATTAGTTGATGATCAAACTGGAATGGTTGGTGAAATGCCGTGCCTATTGAGCCTACTCCCTAGAGCTATTTTTTAGCCCAGGAAGGCAGACCCTTCCTCTGTCGACTAGACCCGGATGGAACATATTTGTAGTCAGGACAATCTTTGTGTTCGCCCGAGGCGGGTTTCTTGTCGCACTCGTCAATGATCGTTTCGTTTTTGGGCTCGCCGCCAACTGTCTTAGTGATAAAGTATTCGGTGCATATGGTGGTCCACTGTTCTATTAGCATAACAGTGGAATAAAGGGAAGTTACTATATCCATACAATGGCTAGATCAGAGATTGTGGAAGGAAAGTCGATGAAGGGTTGAAAGAAATTGTTGATGAATGAAGGGAGGTATATATCATTTTGTAGATTTTCAAGGCAGGCTTCAACCTTTGTTTCTGTCTGGTTGGAATCTCCTGCATGACGCACAGGCCTCTCTCTATGGAGGTTTGATGAACCAATGATAAAGTTCCCATACTTATTTAGTGCTCCTGCATACAATCTTGCTTGGCAATGAGGGGAAGTGCCACGGATACTCTGATTTAAGACTCTTACGCATCATATTGCAGATTTCATTAACTGATGTAGTCCAGTCAAGTAGCGCTTAAGCGGGGCCCAGGTCCCATATGTGCCTGGAATGTCCCTGACTATGCATGGTTTATGACAAAGCATTGGATCAGAGCTACAACCCTATGCCCACAGTCTAGGCCGGCGGCTACCCGAAAGATTGAATTCCACCATGCATGCGAGACTGCACGGTCCTTAACTTGAGCCAACTATTGGCCCACTGCCCCGCAATGCGAACAAATCACAGTAGCCTGTTCCTTCCTTAGTTGCAGTACTTTTGTGAACCTGCATAAATTGAAGCAGCCGAAACTTCTTTTGCGTCAGTCCTTTAAGCCAGAATTGCACGAGGGAGGAACCGCATAAGACCGCCATAAAATGCGTTACTGTACATTCATTTTCACGGGCATTGGCCCTAATAAGAACTGGTGGTTTAGCGACGAGGGGCTGCATTACATTACCTAGCAGTGATGCTAGCCAAGTCACATTTGAGCAGGGGCCGCTTTAGAGAAAGTTGGCTTTTTCCTGAGGGCGTGTCTCCAAGCGCTCAAGCTTGAAGCCATGTTTGGTGTTTTGTCCGGAGTCGCGGCGTTGTATGGGAAAAGGCCTCCGTATATTTATTTTCCTATTTATCTAAACACAATCTTTCCATGATTTCTCGGCCCTTTTCGTCCAAATTTGGGTACTTTCTCAGAAGACGCAAATCCTGCCAAAAAATCTTCGCGTCATCATGCCCATCGCCATGTAGGATTAATCGCTCTTGAAGCAATTTTTTCCACTCGGCATCCTCCTCTGTCCATCCCCAAGAGGCTGAGACATATTCGTACCATATAGGGTAATAGGCAGCGAATTCCCAATCAAGTATTCCGGCCAACTCTCCATTTTCAACCATAATATTGCCCAAGTTAAGGTCACAATGAGTGAGGACATAGGGCTCACACTTGGGTAGTCGTTTCTTCAGATTTTCCAACGCTCTTTGAGGGAATTCCCTTCTAGGTGGATCGTGGAGGGTCAGGCTTATAGCGTCCCAGAGTTCGACGTCGGAGTGGAAAGGCCCATGAGACTCGCGGTCAGAGAAAAGTAAGCCCGGGTAACAAGAGGTTTGATCAACACTTTGTATAGACGATGAGGTGATAGATCGGAGTTTATTGCGAACTTCAACCACTTGGTCTGCTATAGCCGTTTTTTGGGATTCGGATAGTGAAGGCCAAGCCCGCTCAAGTGTTTGTCCTCGTATCCGTCTTTGAAGTACAAAATATCGTCCATTTTTGTCGACCCAGTTATGCAGAACCTTTGGCGCTGGGATATCAGGGTAGGTTGCAAGGTGATTCAGAGTGTTCACTTCGGTTTTTGGGCCTTCATCAGGGCGTTCTTTCATAATCACATCAGACCCAATCGACCACACCCCACGTCTGCTTGCACCATAAAAGAGTTTGACATGACTCGAATAAAAACATTGGTCTTGCTGTTCGGGCGTCCATCCACATGCAACACAGCCTTTGGATGATTTTTCTGCCATATTGGCGGATTGAGAAGGGATGACAAAGTTAGGTAGTTGCTGAAGAGAAAGGCGCATTTATTGATATTTATTCACCGCCCTTCGATCATATTATCCAATCAGGATTCCGCGTATCAGTAATGTGGGGTGAATACAACCTGGGACTCATTGGCTATTGACTTCCCAACGTTTTGAAGACTTATGATTTCTAGAAGAGGAGAGAATATGATAGAATCATATCTATCTCCTGTAACTATGAATTTGGGGTAAGGGGGGGGGACTGTTCCCTCCACACTGTGAAATCTTTGGCAAAACTTCAATTTATGCAGGTTTGCAGCAGTCACGAGAGATTAGGGAATACTTTGATTGGTTGGAAATCAAGGGTGGAATTGGGTCCGTGCCTCGACTACCTAGTATGGGACCCTACCATGAGACAATGAGGATCGGCGTATTCCAGCTCCCGTAGCCAGTACTGGGCAGAGACCTCTATAAATATGCCCCTCAGAACCCAACACAAGTGAGAATCTCACTTCAATACAAGATATTCACTATACACACTACGCACAGACCATACCAATCAATCCGTCTTTATCCTCCAAAATGAAGTGTCCTAAGTGCGGCTTCAACAATATAACGCATCAGGAGCCCTTTCCCTGTGAAAAGTGTGGTGCTGAAGTTCCAGGGTCTCAAAAGGTCACATATTCTTGATCCATCTGCTTTGTGTGTGGCTGACCTCGATAGTACAGACCCTTTAAATCTTCCCACCCGACCTCGTGCTCTTTTTGACGGGGAGTTACTTCATGGACTTGTCTAGCTGTTGCAGTTAGCAGCTAGATATTTGCGAAGAAATGGTTTGCTGTTGTCGTGGTCAATGTCATGTCTTCATTCCTGGGTATCGATAGGTCATTCCTTTGTCTGTTAGTCCTTCATTTGGTCTGCAAACTATACGATAGCCATGTCGATAACCTACAGTCAGTCATTAAGCATAATATAACCTCAGAATCTGACACTGAGCTTTCTGCGAGTTGTGAAATTGAAGAATAATGCACTCCCAGTCACCTAATGCTTCCCTGTACTATATCACGGACAAAAACACCTTCCCTCCTGCCACCTCGAAATTCGGTTGATGACGTCATGGAGGCCAAAAAGGAACTGGTCGGATAAAGCCCGGCGTGATGGTGATCTGGAGGGTGGCTTGTATTGTTCGAGAAGCTTTTGCGAGCCTGCATAAATCGAAGAAACTTCTATCGCCTTTAAGCCAGAATTGCACAGAGGGAGAGATCGCATAGGACTACAATAAAATGCGATACATTCATTTTCACTGGCATTGGTCTTAATAAGAACTGGTGATTTAGCGACAAGGGGCTGGCTACCTTGCCTCGCAGTGGTGAGCATCCACTCAAGTCGCATTTGACCAGGGGCTTGCTCTAATTTTCATATCCCTCTTCTTTTCTCGCCCCATGCTCTCACTTTTGATGACCATCCAGATCGAAGCAGCTTAGATAAGCCGATCATTCATCACCTTCTTTTGAGGTGGTAGGCTATAGTGGCTGTATGGCCTCCATTTCTCCTTAAAAAATATCCTGGTTCGGAGTCTCAGTTCTGGGTAGGCCGCAAAATTTATGCCTGATTTAGTTGGCACCAACTTGATGGAGTGGGGTGGACGGGCCCATTTGGTGCAACGCCTAACTTCGCCGTTACCCCTCGCTTTGATACCCAACAACATCGCGCCCTCTTCTATTCTAATATCTACTCCTGAGCTCCGTTTTCCTTCTGCGTATCGTTTATTTCTACACCCCCGGGCTTATCCTCGATCGTCGGTCTCCCCGAGAAGCCGCTATACTAAGTAGCACGGCGCTTGCTTGAGCCGTCGGCAACCGAGAAATTCTTCTCAGAATTTTCACTGAGCTCGGCCACACGACAGTGGGCTTTTAAGTCGTTCATTTTAAGCCATGGCGGTCAGAGATCACTTCTAAGTTTGTCGCATTGGGGTGGCTAACACGCTGTTTGGTATTTAGAAAGGAGACAACGCGCTCGCTGGACAAGAGGAATATCTTCCAAGCCATCCATTTCCCCCGGTCAAACACACAAGAACGATTTTTTTCAAGGGCTTCTATCTTTCCATATACAACCGGAACACGGATGAATACGGACCACACATTGACAACGCTGTAGCGACGACTGAATACAGCGCCTATGTGGTGCCCGCAGACTACACGATCTATGTGAGAGGGGGAACTGTATATTTCAAAACCTAAGATGAATGTGCAAGCTGTAGCCCAAAGACATCGTGGAGATGGTAGGCTTCATGATTTCCGCACCAGATGGTCAAGGAAACATCCTGCGTGTTGTCCTTCGGGAAAAGCGTGGCTAGGCTGCTTGTTGTTTTCATACCCTGGCTCCTTTCCCACTTCCAAAACCGGCTTTCTCTGACAGCGGTCTGAAATGGCTCTGGCAATCTGTCTATGCAGACAGGGTCGGGATTTGTGTACATATGCTTCATTTCTAAATTATTATTATTAGCCATGCAACAAATGCTACTAAAGCTATCGTACCTCGTTTCTCATCTAAAGGAGAAATTTGACTCGTCTGAGTCACTCCCTCATTGTGCCCGCTGTCCAATCGTCTCCGTTTTCTTCGATGGTCTAGGGAGACATCTGGTAAACAGTCGTATGCTGCAGAAGGAATTAATATCTGCCGGTAAAAGGTAACTATTTGGGGCTGAAGTACCTTTCAGAAATTCACGGTATTCCAAAGATCCCGACAAGGATTCTTCGTCGTCTAAGAGCATGTGTAAAATTTCTCCAACGATTGACGGCCATGGTGGACGTTGGTCTGGTTCGATGTCGTCAAGAAGACAGGTAAAGATGTCCATTGACATCGATCCTGCCGCCCAAAGGCTAGGCGCGTAGGCCATTGCCCATGAAATAACACCGCTGGGACTAAGTTGCCGAATCTGCTCACATCTTTGTCGGGTCAAGGCTTTTCGGACTTTCATCTCCTCGGAGTCGAACTTGGAGTCCTTCGGGCCTTCGAATATAGTGACGATATTTCGTCTGAACACCGGCTGTTGCTTCAACCGGCCATTAGTCAATAGCTCCCCCTTACACAGTAAAGCATGGGACCGAAGCTTTTCACTTTCTTTCCATGCTCTGTCGACACGTGATTCTTTTGACTCTCGGATCTTGTTTTCCATTCTAGTCGCAGTTGTTGTAAGACTCTTGCTTATGTCGCCAAGAGCTTCCCATTGCTCTTCGTTTGGGTAAATTTTCGATATTTTGGGAATCAACAAGTTGGCCTTTTCCAAAAGGCTCCGTAGTTGGGAGACGACAGCAGCGGCAGACATGGTTTGGTATCTTGACGAGTGAAAAGAAAGTGGTCGCATGGAAAGTGAAAGAAAGAAAGAAAGCAAACCGCAGGGTAGCGCTCTTACCTTACTAAGTACAGGAGGACATCCGGCTTGGAGAGGGGTAACCACGAGGGAAAAGATGTGTGAATCATCAACTTATGCAGGCTCGCAAAACTACTGCGGCTTGGGGGGCTGTGTATGGTCTTTGATTTGTCGACACCGCGGGGTAAAATGGGGCCAAATGTTCCCGCATGGCCTGGCCGACATCCATGCATATTCCCCTGCATCTAAGATCACGCAGTCTGCTGCGCTAATCTGTATACAAGAAATACAAAGCACAGGCATGGAATCCAAAGATAATGGCATGGAATCCAAAGATAATGAACATATAAGCAGGAGCAATTTCCTCTGGCCTTCATCGATCTTTCCATTCATCATTGGCATTCCAATATTGGTCTATCTCATACCAGCACCCAATACTGCACCAATATTCCTCATTTGTCTAACCACACAACATGGCATCGGCGCAGGAGATTGCAAAGACGTCTTCTTCTCCCTGTCCCCAGGGCTTGACGCCACCGGATAGCCCAACAATGGGGTCAGCTGCACCTCACTCTTCCATGAAGGATCTGATGCATCTCGTTGATGCGTATGCAAAGGTGGTGTCTGGTCTTATCAACCGTGAACCTCCTCCAAACACTCCTGTCACCCAGGACCTGTGCCCACTAGGTCCCGACGTGGTTCGACTGAAGCAGTTACTGGAACGTGCATCGGTCGAACTCTCTCAGGCAGCCGAGCCATCTCAGTCTTGCTTTCCCGACAATGAGCAGGCCGACAAGGTCCAGGTGGCAGATGCGCTTGACACGCCCATCTCCCAGGACCAGTCCTCAGCAGGCCTCGATGTGGTTCGACTGAAGAAGTTGCTGGTGAAACTCATCCGTGATAACTATCCTTCAGTTGATCTTGATCCGATCAGGACTACATCGGATGACTACGAATCGTTTAAGGGGTGGGCCCAGGAATCGACACCTCAATTCAAGAAAATCGTGGAAACGTACGAGCCGCCAGCCACATTTTTTTTTTTTTTCATTTTGGAGAAATACGCTGACACTTGTCTAGCTGGGACAAAGGTGCATGCAAATACAAGATTGCCGAATCAGTGGAGAGCAGCAATGACCAGCATGATCTTGCTAAGTATGAATTCGTTGTCCGCGAACGTATTGGTGTGTGATGCCCTTGTATACCAGACCCGAAAATCTACTAATCATGATCAGATCGGAAGTCCGAGGAGGTGACGACATACATTGACATCAAATCGGAATGGCTGCGCGATATCCTGCGTAGGGTGCTGCAAAACATCAAGGCAATTAGTCTGATGGAGAACGAACCATCGGTAAATCAAAACAAAAATACCTCTAAAGCAAGGGGGCTGACCCGAATCCAGATCGAGCAGAATATCCTGTTCCATTTTCTCGCGGAGCTCGAGGAATGTGCGGATGGCTTGAAAAATGACCCGAAGTTTGACATGAAGCACCTGAAGCATCTCAGCCTACTCATCGAGCACCTCAAGCATACATATACTTCCACCTCACAGCGCCTTCATTCAATGCTGGAGCATAGCCATATCACCTATGACCTCCTCTGGGCGCTCTTCAAGCCTGGCTCCCACGTTTTTGCCACGTGCTTCGGCACAGGAGAGCCACGATGTGTGGTATTCGATGCAGGCCAAGAGATGACTCAAGATGACATTACGTTTTTCAATCTCGAATGTCGGTTTCTTGATTATGATGGAGTCAGGTTTGGTGAAGCTGGTGTCTTTCTGCGAATTCTCAAGTACCGTGGATCAAAGCCAATCAAGGAACTGGAGGCCTTCCCCATCTGCTATTATCCGAATCATGAACAAATCCGCACAGACCTTATAAAAAGAGGTCAGAAGTTCTGTGACTTGGCCGGTTCACATATCCAGCACTGCAACGGGAGCGCATTCTTTATGAAAAACGGAAAGCCTATTAAACTAAAAATCAACAGTCGAGTGGGAGTTGACGCAGCCTCTTTCCGAAAAATGCAGCCGAATTACTCCCGACCTCGGCTGCATGATATCTGGGCAAAAGATGGCATTTCTGTCGTTGACTTGGATATACCTTTTAGGAATGATCACGAACAAGAAAAAGAGAAAATGCAGGAAGGCAGTGTCGATGCCCATCAAATGGGTGAGAGCGACTTGCTGATCTGCTGCCCAACCGTCTGCTGCTTTATTTTTAAGGAGAAGATGTTCTGTAAGTATCATATGAGTATAACAGTTGTCGTTAAGACTAACAGAGTTAGTGGAATGTGCGGTGGGTGCTCTTACGGACGTGCAGTGGTCTCCGGGGTCCTTTGAATGTCTTAAGATCCCGTCAAAGACCAAGGAGCTGCTCTCCTCACTGGCCAAAACTCGGCTGGACCTTGTGCCAACTCTCCCTTTTGACGATATCATTGATGGCAAGGGCCGCGGCCTGAACATCCTTTTACAGTACGTTGGCAGAAACCATCTAAGCATTGCTTCCTGTCTAACTTCTTTAACTTCTCCTAGTGGTCCGCCGGGTGTTGGGAAGACGTTTACAGTCGAGGCAACTGCAGAGCGGTTCAACCTTCCTCTTTATTCCGTAAGTATCGTTCATTGCATTTAGCCGGGTTTTGTTAACCTGCCTAGATATCGGCCGGTGAGCTTGTGGTAGACCATGGTGATTCAAATGCCCTTGAGCAACAACTTGAAACAATTTTCACCATTGCCAAGCACTTCAATGCAGTGCTTCTTTTGGATGAGGCAGACGCGTTTATGGAACAGCGTACATCCTACCACGACAACCACAATCGCCTCGTGACGGTTTTTCTCCGAAAGTTGGAATACTACCAAGGCATTCTTTTCCTCACAACGAATCGGATGATCCAGTTCGATGAAGCCATCATAAGCCGGATCCATTTGACCATCAAATACCAGGGTCTGACAAGGGATTTTCGAAGAGAGATCTGGAAAAACTTATTGTCCAAAGCACAGACTATTCAAGGACCCGCCATAGTTGGCCATGATGAGTTGCAGCGGTTAGACAACTTCTCTCTAAATGGGCGAGAGGTAAGTTCACCACAGCGCCAGTCAATGCTTACCAGCTAACCGTCATCAGATCAAGAACCTTACTTCTATTGCGCATGCACTTGCCACAGTCGATGAACAGCCAGTGAGCTATAAATATTTGGAAATGGCTGCGGAATCGAATGAGAAACTATCGGAAAAGTTCGGTCAAGAGAGTCATGTTGAGAGCATGTATGTCTAAGGCCGACGGGTCTAGTCTTTGGTGTCTTTATCGCAGTAAAGTTCAGTACACGACAGTTTCAGGGGTTTCGAGGTTCCATAGTGAATAGAAACCAGCGACTTCTAGCGAGTTGATCTCCCCTATTGTATTGAGAACTCCATTTATACAACAACACAGAAAATGGGGGCTAGCTTCTGATGATTGCCGCGGAGAAGGTTCTGAAATGATCCCGATAAAATTGCTTGCTGAAGAGGGGTTGCCTAGGGTGGAAGAGCAGCCGGATCTGAGGGTATCTCCTGCATCAGCGGGAGATTCCAAATCGGCCTGGACGCAAGACGATGGGGTATTCTGAACCTGCGATGAATTAGAGATCAAGCTAATGTCCTCGCTGGACGTCTCATTGCTTTGTCCTGGTTCGTCCTGATTGTCCGTGCTATTGCCTCCACGAAAGGATTGGCGCTGGGTCCATATTTGCAGCGCATAGGAGTCGCCTTCTGAAATGTTAGTCCCTACCGTATATGAATGTAAGTAGAATCTTACCTGATCCTGACTCAGAAAGACGACCAAGACACGGCCACTTTAATGGTCCTGATTTTTCTGTTGTTCGAGGCCTTTTCTTGCCACGAGACTGATCAAACGCCTTGTCAAAGAGTGGTCGATATGAGTCCACAGTATCCCAATCGTATCCTAGACACTGACAAATTTCCTCCAACCTGTATCAAGAGGAGTCAAGGGCTGCTCAGAACCATAGAGGTATTATGAAGTACCCACGAAGCGTTGTTCTTGAGCAGCCTTTCTATAATCAAAGGTATCACCAGGGGGACTAATACACTTGTGGATGTATTCGTGAATTTGTCGTCAGGACATCTGTCAGAAAGGTCTCTCGTTATCTTTTCCACAAAAGACCGTTCGGTCAATGTCGAGAACTCCGAAAATCGGGCATAAGAGCTAATGGAGCACTCGGCTTCCCATAGTTAGCGCATGAAAGTGGACTAAGTGTTTGACTTACCAGCAAAAAAAAACCTCCCAGCTTCTAGATGCCCACTTGGTCTGGGATAAAAGTGATATGGCATGGTTTGCCCACTTTGCACCACAAATAAGCTTTCCCAAATGCTTTGACCCAGTATCAGACCTGCCAAATGTTCGCATGGCTTCATACACTCGTTCTCTGTCGCCAGAAACTCTCGAGGCAACAACGGCACACATGGAAACAAAAACAAGCTCTCGGAAGCATGCTAGTTTTCGGTCCAAACCACTGCTCCTCTTTGTGAATGTGCCATATTGACGCAGAATGGGTATCATATCAACAGGCCCAGGCAAGCTATATACTGCTTTCCGGGCCTTGTCTGACAAGTCATGGGTGGACGCATAGACCAATATACGAAGGATATCTCCGCGTTGGGCTTTGTCGACAGGAGACACCCAATCTTTCCAACAATTCAATGGCAGATTATTGAGGAATGTGCCAAATTCACGTTGTACCTCGCTCTGACTCCGCGAGCATTGGCCGTCGGCTCCGTCCAATGAGTTATTGGCTTGTTGGCTCGTCTGGCTGTTTAGGGTTCCCACCTCAGCACGTGCATTCTTGCTAGTTTTCTGTTTCGAAAACTTATTGTTGGGTTGAGGATTATATTCGATAATTCTTAACCCTGTGCATTGACTGCCCGGTTCGTCGGTGTTGTAGCCGTGGTGCTTGTCTCCCCATCTTTCCGTAGTGTCTACTCTGGGTTGCACGCTCCCAAAGCAGTTTTGCATTTCTGACGTGGTAGAGCATGCGAAATTATGGTCGTCAACTTCAAAGCTTTCCCGTTGATTGCTGGTCAAATCGCCTTGGCTTCTCGAAGGTTGGGGGGTGGCAATGCAGTCTCGTTGTTGAGATGGACGGTGAAGGGCGGTCTCAAGCTCGAAAATCCTCGCTTCAAGAAACCGAACATAAGCTGCGTCGTCACCCTCAAATTGAATCCGGCGAGAACAAGACATGCCGGTCTTGCTGTTAATAGATGAAGTAAATGAAAGAAGAAATAGAGGATACCACACCTATTCATTTTGACACATGCCCAACTAAGGGCTTCCACGAGAGCCAGCCACGAATCAGCAAATTGGTCAAAGGTTGGCACAGGCTATGAAAGGGTCTGTGCTATGTCATGTATGCAGACTTATCACAGTTGTGGAGTCTTATGTTGGTTCCATCACACTAATCACGTTTTGATCCCCTCCAAAACGATTTAATTTGTTCACTATGTATATCACAGTAAATTGTTAATTGTTTTCGTGGATCCTTGCACCTTATTTACGTGAGACGCGAGGCTCAAGTTGCCCAGACTGCTCTCCACTCTAAGAGCACAAAGTGGTTCTCAAGTTAAAGCTTCCCCCAACAGTTCCGTGTCTCGAGCCGCCAACTGTATTTGAACCCACCCTGTGGCGAGGTACTTCGCTTATTGCGGGCGCTAGCTAGGTAAGGATCCCCCTAATTGGGGACCCTAATCTGGAAGTGATCATTGTCCACCTATTCATCACTGCCACCATTTTATCCTTCCCGACCCTCGCAATCAATTGACTGGGTGCTCCACTCTGATTCCAAGCTTCGTCGTCAGTACTCTCGATCATAAATGGGTTACAGGTCAGTGATTGTTTATACACCAAATACCAAGGTGACCCTGCAGGTGGTAAATGCTGTTCCAACTACGGGGATCGGACCCAATCCTGCAGCGCGATTATGATAATGTCCCTGTCCTGAAAGCTAGCTGGGGATGCTTCCCATCCGCCATTACCACCGATTTAAGCGCCAACCAGATTAGGTTCCTCCAAGAAGGGGAGCCTAATCTGGTTAGCGCTGGATGTGATTACAACGTTAGCAGCGGGACGGGGATTCCAGACCCCACAGTGCATTATTGGGAGAACGGCCGACATGTGTTTTGCATGGAGTACAAGAACTGGATCCTGTTTCAGAGAGATGTCTTAGCAACAGACAAGAAAATCGCCCCCGACTTGAGGTGTCAGTCTCAGTAGACCCCATTGAGCCGTCACGGGAAAACCTTCTCGAAGTGACAGACCTCGACTTCTTTGGACCCCTATCTACTGAACCGATGCAAGAGAATCTCCTTCATTTGACAGACCTCAGCTTCGTGGGGCCTCTATCCTCTACGCCGGCACAGGGCAATCTCGACACAATAGACCTGGATCTCGTCGAGTCACTAGGCTCTGCGCTGGCGCAGGGGAATCTCCTTGATGTAACCGACCTCGAATTCGTGGAGCCCCTATCCTCCGTGCCGGCGCAAGGGAGTCTTCTTGATATGCCGGATCTCAACTCCTTGAGGCCTCTCTCCTCTGCCCCTACACAGCCAAACCTTTTGGCGCAAAAGCAGGCAATTTTTTTCAAACAAATTTGGCGGGATCTCAATTGCAGAACTCTGATCAACTCGCCTTCTTGACCTTCCATAATAGATACAATGTATTCCCTTCAGAAATCTCCACGCTCACCTTCTTGGATATGCACATCTTCATTCCATAGACAAGGGGATATGTTTGTTGTCCATCTCTAATAGAACAGCCTTGTCTCGGAGAAATAGGAATGAGCTCCCCTTCCTTCACTTCCCATCCCGTATGTGAAGTCCTGAACGTAGCGATACTAGAAGTCTGTAATAATTAGCGCGAGTTCTCACGGTAATAGTAAAGCAACGATAGACCTGCGCGAGCAGTTGTAAAATTTCTCGTAGTCCCGCCTGGGAACATTGCTCGACAAGTTTGAAGCGTGGAGACACTTTCCACTCCGCATTTGGATTCGCTATAAGCCAGTTGTGTAACTCCTACACGGCTGTGTGTTCGGTTGGGTTGAGTTGTTGCTCGAAGATCTCGCCGTTGGGCTGGGTCATGTGGAACGGAGACAAAAAATCCTGCTATCGTATCAGCTTCCGTCACGAATCCTTGGTGCAATATTATCCAGTCTTAATAACGCAGATACACCAAGACTCTGCGTTACCGTAAGTCCGAGGAAATTGTTGCAGATCCAGAAAGGCCACGATAAGCAGACAGTGATAACATCATTGTAGCTAAAGAAGAGATGAGAAGGTTTACTCACCAGGAAACACTATGTTCTTGCTGAGAAAGAGAATGATAAGCTCGATCCTCTCAATTTAATGACCATGGAAGCGATATTTCAACGAGGGTGAGAGTATAAGAACAGCCCACAACGGCGGGGTAAAAGAGAAGTGGGATCATCCCATTAATGTAATGCCCAACTTCAGTCCCGCCTTCGGAATAACCAACATCCAAAGGAGCGTGATACCCGATGTCCAAAAGTTCACCAGAACAGAGTATGTAAAACTTTGTCTTGGGGCGCCCTTTCTTTAAACCATAATTTCTCTTTCCTGGTTCACTTTGTGGAAGTAGAAGTCTGGTTTCGACTCATGTTGTGACGTATAGTTGCTAGAGCCCTGATGACTGTGACGAGCATCGGCATCACAAGTACGCTAACTGGTTATCAGTTAGTAAGCTCTCGATAGGCGTCCCCCGTAGATATTTAGCATTGCAAAAATAAACATTCCGACTATACACATAACTTCAAGTTCGTGGGACTTTACGAAAAGTATGAGCGATACTAACACTAATTAATACAAAGATAGGTGTCCGTCTCTATCCCGCCTAATCGATTAGTTCTCGAGCACCTAAACACTGGATTCTGCGTCAACAACATACCAGTTGCAATTTGTCCTGCCAGCTGCGACCTACAACAACGCCTGATCTCTACTGAAGTTAACAGCAGCCAAAAGTGGGCATTGACCTAGACACTCCATTAAATATAGCGTCGCCTTCCCTTTCCCCGTGAAATCTTTCATTCTGTCTCTGCATGGTAGCACTTCAACCGTGCCCTGTTGGATGATATCTGTGTCTATGCGAGAGCCATTCGAAGGCGTTTTTTTCCTTGACGCTGTGGTTCAAACAACTTCCTCTTCGTTACTCTCGACTGCCTCTTTTTAAAAGCAGGGTTCAGCGCCACGTCATGGAAGTCAATAATGAGAACCCGCTCCAACTCTGAATTCCACAGCATATTCCGATCATTGAGGTCACCATGCACCACCCCTAGGGAATGGATCTCTTTCTTAGATCGTCGAAGTTCATGATCAAAATCTGCAGGAAGCCCCGATCCACTTATTTTCTCACCGGCCCAAGCCATAAGCAGCATATGTCGAATCTCACCTGCCCCGTGGAGGAAATAAGTCATAGCCAGGTCGACTGTTCCCAGGAAAACTGGTACGGCGGATCCTTGCGCGGTTCGGAGGATACGGTATATCATTGCTTCATTGACCACCTCATTCCAAAGTCGGTCGGTGGTCCCTTTTCCAACGACTGTGTAGCCATATCGTGCACAAACAATCTTAAAAGGTGCCCCAGACGTCCATGTCCCACAATCACCGAAAGGTGTGCAATAGTGATCGAGGTCCTTATTCAATTGCTGATTGAGCTGTTGGACTAGACCCTCTGTCGTAACGGGATGCCGTTCATCATTTCGATACTTTCTATGAAATTCCACATTTGGGCAATTGTGATCTAACAAGTCGTCCTGTTGAAGCCCAAGTAAGCAGCGTTGGGTACAAAATTTCCCAGCGTGTTGTCGACGGGCGCCACCTCGATCATTGCCAAAGTCTCTGGACCTTGTTGGTTGATTAGGGGGGGGAAGATGTGACGTTGCTCAGAGTCCGCTTTCGGCTAGCATCAGGCGCCGTCTGGTTTGAATCCGAGTCGTCGGAAGACTGATCTGGAAGAGGTAGGGTTTGCGAGGGTGCGCAACCAGATCGAGGCTGTGCACGGCGTTGTGGTGTGGGCGATGGTATAGGTGACGAAGGGAGCCATTCAGAGCTAGTGCCTTCGGTACTAGTGTGAGGAGATCCCGTATATTCCGAGCCAGGTGGCGCTTGCAGCAGCTCGTCATCAGGTATTCGGGACCGTACAAGGTCAAGGCTGGTCTCCCAAGTGTTCAGCTGACCCATTGCTCTAGTCCGCCAAGCCTGGTCGCGGACGGCAGAAAGAGAGCCCATTAAAGAAAGGCAAAGCACTCGAGCAACGGCTGTTCTTGGTTCTCGATAGCTGTCATCATCATTTCCATCAATTTCCATATTGGGCTCGCAAAGGAAGTAAAGTAGCGTGCCCGGTTTATCCTGGGGTATTCGGAGAAGTACCAGAGCAAGACCGATGGTCATATAGGAAAGTTCGAGGCCTTCCCAGAGCATAGCGTGATATTCCTGGGTGAGAACGGACCCAACAATCTGCTCTGCATTGTATTTCAACTTCTCAGCTTCATCGGTTGGTATCTCTTTGCGTTGCACCACATCATTCCAGAAATCCATCTTTGGCTGAAGACCCACGCGCAGATTTTCAACGGTCAGTTTATGGGGGGGCTTGTATTCCACCGTCATAAGCAGAGAATTTTTGTCGTCAGCTCGGTGAATACAGAACTGGTCAGGCCTTGGTCGGCATTGTGTTGAAGACCGGTCCCCATCGTCAGAAGTGCCATCATTCCGAATCGTCTCATCTTCTAGACTATTGGTATGGCTCTCGAACCATACGCCATCGCCAAGACGAAATCGTCGCCGGGCTTCAGGAATTTTGCAGAGTTCCGAAATGATATCTTGCACATGGTTTTCAACGGCAAGTCTTTCATAAGTTTCAAGGTCCCGTTCACTGCTCAGTGGACGATCCAGCGAGTCGGCAACGCCTTCTAGGCGCGCAACTGTCGAAAATAATTGGGGAGGGTGATCACTCGTTACTTGGAGGTAGCCGCAAACAGAGTCGTATATTTCCTGTTGAGCAGCTGCACAATCTGACCACGGAAGGAGACGAGCCGGGCAATATTTCCCTTGAGGGGCTGGGATCCTTCCCTTCGTAGAACGAGACGGGGTTCTCACACGCAAAGGGCGGGAGAGCAGGTTATGGCAGGTTCGGAGATATTCTAGCAGTGAGGTCTTTCGAGTGAACTGCCTGTTCTGTTCTTCGACTTGCCGTCTCTCTTCCTGAGCTTGCTGTCTCTCTTCCTCAGCCTGTCTCCGTAGCTTTGTTTCTCTTTCGAAAAGTTCTTTGTAATCGGGTGAGCTGCTTTGATCCATAGAGCTTTTCAAACAAGTATTGCGGTGTTGTTGTCGGCTCAATACTCTTGAAGTCGCGAAGGGGTTGGGGCTCAGTTCGGGATCGGACAAACTGGCGGACCGGCGCCTTCGAGATACCAGTTACGGGCCGGGCCCCCTCAGCTGTAACCCGCGGCCGTGCCAGCCGAGGTTCAAGTTACGCAATGCTGACAAAGCGCTCTTATTGCTCGATTGTGGATCGCCTTACGGTGAACAGTTCAGGAGTTTCCCAGAGCGCACCAGTCTGTCTTGACACTAGTGTTCGAGAAAGACTCGAAGAGTGTAGGAAGTATTGTACAATATCATGAGCACACAAAATTTTTACAAGTTTTGCTTCGCCTACGTTGTACTGGTTTATTTTTTGCGGCTTCCCCTTTGTTAAGAGCTTCACCGCGTCCTTCGAGAGGATGTAGCCGAGTCCAGACCAGAGAGTAGTAGCGGCGGCAAGTTGAGCGAGGGAAGAAGAGCAAAAACAGGGAAAGGCAAGTCGAGTCGAGTGCACACGTCAGCGCTTCGGGGGTGTGCAGGAATTTCGGGTGAAGAATAAAGGGGTGTTCAGGGTATTCAGGGCCTTACCTGAAGTGACCTGAAGGCCCTGAAGGGCGGCCTGAACGTCCTGAAGGATAGGGCGGCAACGGCACTAGGCCGAACGAATCAAAAAGATCGGGTGAACGACGACATACAACCTGCCGATATTGGCACTGCCACAACACCGGCCGCGAACGGGTCTGCGGCGGACCGAGGTGCACTTCCACCATTGGGTGGCGGAGTAGTTCACCCAGCTCGTTGCGAATCGGTCGCTCGAATTCCGAGAAGTCTTCAAACTTGCCTTCGTCCATCCTTAGCAATGCTGACGTCGTTGGCGGGGCAAGAAATGATGAAAAATAAGCGAAAATTGGTTAAATTGGAGGGATTCGAACTATACCATAGTGGGAAAGATAGAAAAACGAAGGGCGTTTGGTTCATTTATGCTAAATGGCCTACCCCACCAAAACATCTACCGATTTCGTCTTTGATGCATTCGAAACGCCGAGACTGCTTTCATGTCCCTTTGTCTTTTGCTATTTTACGCCATATTTGCTTCGAAGAATGTCACTTCTGCTTCATTCACTTAATTCCTGCGAATAAAAGGCCTCTTCTCGCAGGAATCTTCCTCCTTTCTTACCCTTGTTTATTCAAAACTTCTTTCAAGAAACCCCAGCAATACACATGCGACACATACGACAACAGTGTCCGGCAAGGCCCTGCGATGACGACCTTCCCGTCCCAGTCATCAGCGGGGACGGAAACACTATCTCCACTTAGGCGGTTCGTCAAAGATACCCTGAACGTTGCTCGGGTTAAAGCTGAGGGGCCCCAAATATGCCCAACGGGCCCCAAAATTTCGGCGTAATATTCTCCCGACTGTTGGACCCCCCTAGCTGTAACCCGCTTCAGACTCGACCAACAGCCAGAGAACCTCGCAACCCCACCTCGCAGCAGTCGACCCAGACCGATTTCGTCGACTTAGATGAAGTTTTGATGAGAATTTGCTTCTCTACCCTACCAGAACTGTCGATCTTGATGAAATTGACGATTTGACACTCCCATCTGATCCTATGATATTCCCCTCTGACCCTCCTCACCCTGCTAGCTCTCAAACTATCGAAGAAAGCATGACTGACCTCACGAGAACCATGCCAGGCGCGCTGTATCTCAGTTCATCCCCACTACCAATTCCGCCGCAGCGAATCGCCCGAAAGATGACGACGCCGTCCTTTCCTCCCCCCCCCTACTCCGAACCCTCCTCGAACCGAAAATCGACCAATTTAGGCTGAACCCTTTCGCCTATCGCCTGACCCCGAGCGAGAACCGGTGATGATAGCAGAACCTGCTCCTCCGCGAGAACCGAGGCCGCTGCTGAGAGATCGGCAGTTCCCCGAAGTGCCTCCTACAATTATACCCCGACGCTCTGCTCGATGGACGAAAAGCCAACGCCGATCGGTTCGCTTTGAAGATGAGAATTGGAACACAAAGGGCACAAAACGGAAAGAGATGGGCCTCTCAGCCACGACCAGTTCTGCGTACAGCAATCTGCTTTCTGCAGAAGATCTATTTGGCGCGGACGATCAATTCGGTGTGAGCTTTGCTGCAATTGAGGATACCTCGAAGAAGGCCTATGATATCGTTATCCCCCAGACCTATTCGGAAGCGATGAGCAGCCCTCAGAGCAATGAATGGCTTCAGGCGATGCAGAATCAACTGCAGAAACTAGAGGTGGCAGACGCCTGGACCCTGATTGATATACCAAAGCGTGGCAGAATTTTGCCTGGCAAATGGGTTTTTGATACCGAATGAGGATCGGAATGCCAATATTACCGAATATCGCGCGCGTTGGGTCGTCTGCGGCAACCGACAGCGACCCGTGATCGATTTCGAAACCTCATACGCTCCCGTTGCTTCGGACCAAGCAATCAATCGGTTCTTCTCATTGGCTGCAGCGAAGGGACTCGTAATTCGACAATTTGATATGGTAGCAGCATACCTGAATGCTGCGATTGATCAGAGAATCGTCTAAATGAAGCAGCCTACTGGCTTCGCCATGGATGGCAAGGTCTGCCAGTTGAATCAAGCGCTGTATGGCCTTCGTCAAGCTGCTTATCCCCGGCACGAAACGTCTACGAAGCGATTGAGAGAGCTTGGCTTCATGCCACTGGTGGAGGACAGTTGCATATTCAAAAAGAGTGAAGACTGCTTTATCTTGATATATGTCGATGACATTATCGAGGGAGCATCTACTGAAGCAGATATTGATGAATTTATCGCCGAATTCATGCAATCCTTCAAAATTAAACTGCTGGGTGACCCAACCTGCTTTCTGGGCTGCAATTTGTTCCGCCAGAATGGGACTATCTGGCTAAATCAGGAAGCCTATGCAAAGAAGGTATTGGTAGAGACTGGCTTCGCTAATTCGAAAGCGAGCAAGTTGCCAATATCGAGTGGCTACAAAGCCCCTGCAGTATCGACAGCAGGAGAAGATGCGAACAAGGGAAACAAAGCCTATTCGACAGATATTGGGAAGATGAGCTGGCTGTCGCCGAAGACTCGCCCTGACCTCGCCTTGGCAGGTCAACAAACAGGCAACAGAGGACTGCAGCACTGAGGAATGGGGACCTTGCAGCTGTGAAGAGCATGTTTCGCTACCTGCGAGGTACGATGAAGCTTGGGATTGCTCTAGGCAGCTCCAGCAATTATGGCGAGAATGATTTGCATGGTTTTGTCAACGCCTCTCATCAGGACTGCACTGGTGGCCACTCAACTGAGGGCTATATCTTTTTTATGAACGACACCCCTATCTCCTGGCGATCGGCAAAGCAGAAGGTTGTCGCCCCGAGTTCAACGATTGCGGAGCTGTATGCATTTGATTCAGCAGCAAAAGAACCCATGTTCCTGGCCAAATTGGCTTAATCGCCGGGACTGTGGGATGAGAAGAAGCTCTGCATCAAGTCTGATTCCGACAATGCAGTTGCCTTGCTGAAGAAGGATGGCTACTCGTCGACGACGAAGTGGATTGATAATCGCTATTTCTTCGTCAAAGAGGCGATGAAGAAGGGCCTCATCGATCTGGTTTTGATCAGCGGCGACAACAATATCGCTGACTGGCTGACCAAACCGCTCGCTGCTGCCAAATTTGACAAGTTTCGAGCAGCTCTGAACCTTGCCGAACCCCCGATGGCATTGGATGAATGCCGCAGTGTTGAAATTGGGCTTTATTTGAATGAATTTGACGATGATGACGACAATTCTGACGAAATTGACGAAGATGTTGACGAATTTGCGTGAAAACGACATGCGGAATGATGAATTTTATGATTACTAACGCATCCGGGCGCTCTGATTGGCTACGAGAATCAGAGGCTGATTATTTTTATGGCGTTTTTGAGCGAATTGGGGATCCTGATGATGATTGAGGTCCGCGGCGTCGATGCTGGGGGTGTGTTGGGACTGGTGTTCTGCCAGCAGTTCTCCACCGCTCCCCTGACCGTCCGCGGTAGTTCTGCAGAGCAGTGTATGTAGGTAGCAGGTAGCTTCTCCTACAGACAATTTGATTCTCTCTTCTGCGCTCTTTTCCCTCAGCAGTTCTGCTTTCCCCAGCTTCCCCTAGTGCTCTCTAAGATCGTCATTATTGCCCTATAGTTTAGTTTCAACGAAGGTCACATGAAGCAGGGCCATGGAGAACGAAAATGGAAACAGCAAATCTGTTGTCTTGTAGAAGAAAGAAGCTAGTGCAGTGAGGGATTCGGGTTTCTTGCATTGTCGGCGTCTCGAGCTGGAATAGAACAATCGCATATTGAACTAGCAATAAAGCAATAAAACACAGACTTCAAATGCCAAGCAACTTACTGAAATTTGGCGTTGTCAGACTAACAGGCGATTACAGATCAGGGGGGTCCGCTTGTAGGATAGCCGTGCCCTCTACTTTCGGTGTACAGTAGAAGGTGTAGGACAAGAAGAGAGCATGGCTAAATCAACCAATCAATCGGTTGCCCTTTCTCCATTCTAGCGCCTCGAGCAGCCCCTCCACAACAAAGGAATGCCATCTGACATCGAAAACATAGCCATTCGCTACACCCCTTAGCAGAAGCCACTAAACATGCGCATTGCGCCCGACAAAACCACTGCCATTGAAAAGCATAACGCTATCCTCTCCAAGGAAACCCTGCGATCGCGCACACAGATGGCTGCAAATCGGAGACAGGTGTCGGTGTCGCAGCGATTACCTCGGCTGGGTCGCTTTGAGAGGTTTTGGGTCCTTCGCCGACGCTACGCAGTGCAATTTCACGGTACGGTCGCACGAGGGCCATGCATGATCCCCTGGTAGACACAATGGAATGCCATCAAGCCCACAAAGCTCAAAGCCTGGACCAGCCACCGCACTGACCATCGCCTTCCTCACTATAGCACGGCGGTCGAAGCCCGCGTACTGGAGGAACCTATCGACAACGCCAAAAACGATAAGACCCTATACAATATTATCGCTTGGCATAATCTTGCCCCCGATCCCCCTGTCTCTCCCCTCGAAACGGATAGCCAAGCCTTCGAGACCACCTCGGACAAGGCCGAGGCGCTCCGGAGACATGTCCTAGGATGCTTCCACTCCAGCGACGATCTTGATTATGATCCTCCCCTTCACCCGAATACTAGGAGGGAGAAGAATACCTACTCGGGCCCCTCGAAGTATCGATCGAAGAGGTGGAGCGGAACACTATCGGGGTCACTAGCACCTCCCCCGTAGCCGACCACATCGCACTCCGGTTACTCGAGGCATGCAGGCATCAGTGCGGGGACACGACTCCGATACACCCTCGACATAATCCCGGCCTCAAGGCCGACCCCCGTGCGGCTTTGGCTCGGGCTGTATTGATAGCACCTCGGTCGTCTGGTGCATCCGCGGAAATGCCCCAGTCACGTCACCATGGGTTTTCCGCCACTGCCATGCCGCGATGGTCAAGCGCGACATACGAGCACGGTAAGCCCCAGGACATGCCAGCATGGAAGAAAACGAAGCCACTGATCAGCTTGCCAACGGGGATGCCTTCTCCCTCCCCGCCCCATGATGACCCCCACGCAGACTGTCTGCGCACCGCGGCCACTACAGAACGGTGCAGCAGGCCTGGTGGATCACGGTCTCTCACAAATTTTTCAACTGGCATCGTCAATAGGGTGCAGATTATGAGGTGAAATCCCCCCGGGGTGCTAGAGCTTCACTGCCCCGTCCTCCACGCCGACTTGCCACGCGGTCGTCCCACGGGGACTTCGACTGATATCACAAGCGCTTCAATCATGAGGACGCTCAACTTAACCGCTCCTTTCGGCGTAACAAGACCTCTGACCATATCGCCTTCTGCAGGCTCGCTAAACGGTCTTTCCGCGGCATTGGCCGCAGCGACCCCCCTCCTCTGCCCTCGACGAATCGCCGTGAGGCGATTGTGTATCTACTCTCCCTCGAACTGGCAGAATACCATAGGCCCCAACCAACCCCTTAAAAATTGAGTGAGGAATATAGTGTCGGAATAATGTATCTGACATTAGACAATGTATTTGTATGTGACGACTCACGTGCTCACAACGTTGCAGTCTATCCAGCGATCATTCTTTGTTTACCTCCATCATCAGTCCTTAATACTTTCACTCTTCACCTTTAGCCGCCTGGGTGAGTATCTCCCATACTCGCAGAAACCCGTTCACGTTAGCCACAAGCGCAAGCTTTCTCAGCTCGTTACAGTCGCGCCATCCACCACTGTAGCGGAATACGATCGCCAATTTAGCCAAAGCCCGATCCTCCAAGACCTCATCTTCATCCACCTGTATTTGCCTCCGGATGGGCTCCGCGGCAGTCTTTCTGGGCCAGCATTGTGTCACACCAGAGAGCCCATCTTTCTCAGCCCATATACCGGTGACGATATTCCTGATGATCCTCTTCCCCAGCTCCAAGTCGCTCGGATCGGTGAGCGGGGTATGGCGCAGGATCTCCTCAAGAATTATGACACTCGAATCGCTTTTGTGTTCCGCCGCTAACTCGGCAGCTGTATGTCCGACAGCGTTCTTGACTTTTGTGTTGCTGTGGCGCGCGAGCCACCCCCCAACTTCGGATCGACCGCCCCGGATTGCTGTCATCAACGCCGTCTCTCCGTTCCCCGTAGCCGTGTGTGGTGGGTCCGTGGCGTGACGCAGAAGCCACTGACACATCTCAACCGAATTCGGATTGGACTCGGCAACCACATGCCAACATCCCCGTCCGTTGCGGGTCGCATTCCCTAGGTTCAAACCGCGCTGGCAGAGGCGGACTGCGAGATCCACCGTGGCGTGCTTGCAGACATGGTACAGGCCACCGGGGTCCAGCTGGGCGGTCAGGTCGAGCTCCGGGTTCGATTCCAGCTTGCACCACACGTTTCGAAATCGTGCTGGGTCTCTGGCCACTGCAGTCAGGTACGTCCAGCCTGAGTCCCGGGGTCGTCGCGCTAGGAGTGGCCATATCAACTGCCCGGCGTCCAGGGCGGCTAGTAGTAGGTCCTGGACCTCCTTTATATCTGCCACTACTGCCCGACCAAGGAAGCTTTCGCCGTCTTTGTTAAACATAGTCGGACGCACCGCTCGAGTCTCCAGTAGAAACTCGACGCATTCGACACACCCATGGGCGATCGACGCGGTGGCCGGGTCAACATATAATTTTGCCGCTTCGCTCAATCTCTCCCAGTCTCGAGTCCACCAATTCTCGGGGGCTTGAGCCGTGGCCTTCCAGCCCTCTGTGAGCTCCCATGATGCTGCGATTCTTCTCTGACACTTTGGCGAACCAAGAAGTGCCATACATTTGACCCTGACGCGCTCATAGCCATCTAGAGTCAACAGGGTACGGAACGCGTGCACGTCCTTATGTAGTGCCAGCGGTCTCGAGCAGAGGACGTCTAGCATAATGATCTCTATCAACTCGGCTGGGAGCCTGTTGATCGGGGCGTCACGGTGGCTTCGATCCATCTGGCCGGTGTTGTTAGTCTGCCCTTTGATTAGTTTTGCTTCCACGGATTGTTCCCACGCCAGAGCCTACCTTCTCAGTGGCCATGGATACTGGTATTTCTCCCGGTGTAGGGGTACCCTATCGTCGACTTAGATTAGTTAGCAGATTAAATACACACATCTTTCTCGCCATATCAGAACCAGGTCTCTGCTCACATTCGCGTGAAAGGTCAGATGTGCACAAAGTACGAAGGAAAACCCGCTCTCCGGTCTCCCTGTTGCGGTATCAATGTGTAGCTCAACCGATGCAGAATAGGGGAGTCGAGAAGCAAGCATTTCCTCGTTGGATCAGAGGCGAGAGTAGGTGAAAGGGCGAAAGGGCGAAAGAGAGAGAGGGAGAGAGAGATAGAAACTACGGGCTCGGGGACGTTCAGAAACCAAATGCTCTCTAATATCGCGTACGAATACTGCATCCCACACAAATCCTCCCTGAACCCCTCTTCTATACTAAAATTGTGCGGCAACCTTTCTATACGGTAGGCACTACCCCTGAACCCTGGTAGAACGAGAAGATAATTGGGGAGAGGAGGAACACATCCATCGCGTGTTTCGAGGGGTAAACCAACGAGCGATGACAGTCACTTAAGGCTTTGTTCTTCCTCTTTACTTCATCTTCGGAAGCGAATATCACCTCGCACGATTGTACAACTCCTCTTCCCGGTCACTATTGGATCACCACAGATCTGAGTCATACAACCATTGAAATCGCCTTTGATTGAAACGAGCTTCCGTCTTTTTATCATCAATACCGTCGAAGGGGCAAGAAACGGTCACGGTTGATGGATGGGCATGGTTCAAATCCGATGTATGACTTCTTCAAATTCTGTCAACTTCATTCAATTCTTCAAGTCTGTTTTAGCCCACATAAAGCCCACTTCTCCAGCCTCTCGATAGCCCCCCCCCCCCCCCCCCTTTTTTTTTCAAGCATACACAAAGCAAAAACAGCGAAGCCTGGAGGCCGCGCGGTAAGGTGGTTCGGCGCATGATAAAGCAGGCTTTCTGCGGAAACCCCCACAAATTCGACGAGATACCTTCATGGAACAAGCGATCCGCAGTGCCTTTGGAGAACGGGGGATTCATCCTTTTATCCTCGAGAAGGTTTTACCGTGACTTCGTGGGAGTATTCGCTCGGCATTGCCGCTTCAAATATTTGATGGACCGACCCCTCCATAACCTTCGAGCCTGACGAATTCGCTGCCGCATTCAAGTCATAGGATTCGTCAAAGTGTTGATAAAGTCGAGAAAGAAAATACAGAACAGTCCGCGGCTTAATGAGAGCTATATTCGCCTATCAGATCGACTTTTCAAAAGTGCGGTTGGAGCTACCAAGCTAGCAGCATAGTCCCAAGCCCATTTAGCGCAGCATATGCGCCAAATACAACACCGTAAAAGCTGCTGACCCCGCAGACATCTCCTAAAAATGGGATCTTTGTATGTATATAGTGGATGCAAATCGTTAAACTGCGGATCACAGGAAGCGAGAGGCAACAAGGCCGACGAGCGAGGAAGCAGTCGGCTTCGCAGCGGCTTAGTAGGGCCCAATCATATCGAAGAAAGCCCTATATTAGAAGAAGTCCAGCTTGGTACAGAGCAACAACTGTTTTTCTTTACATTAACCTATCAATTTTCACTGCTAGAAATTGAATACATTCAAAACCCTATGAAAGAAACCTAACTAGCTAAAGCAAATCGACAATCAACAAGAGTTTTGTGCCACTTTCTCGAAGCCAACACTGCCCGACCGAGTGCAGATCTTCATGGGCTCGGTCAGCTTGGTTCTGCGTTTTCTTCTCTCGAGCGATGATTCCTGCCTGGACAGCCTCTTTAAGCGGTGGGGTGCTCGTAAGCATATCCTGGCCGGCTAGAAGAAGCATCAAAGACTCGAGGAGAATAGACATCTTTGCGTTGTCAACGACATCTGCAGTGGCTGCTGCAAATGGAAGAAAACATCTCTCTATGTCAGCCTGGGGAAGGTGTCCTTCCTCGCCATTCTCTGGATCGGGGGCCCTGCTTTCCCGAAGTTGGTATAGAAAAACCTTGTAGAGGCTGATACGGGCCATGGGAGAGAATTTTGGATACTCCCTCAGGTTGATAAACGCTTGGAAAATCAGGAATGGAAGGTGGAGGACCCTCTCGACAAAATGGTAGTCAAGTTCCTCAAGAGGGATGAATTCTTGAGAAAGCTGCTCCGAGACCATGAATAAAACCCCCAGGAGACGTAGACGCAGGCTGATGGATTTATGACCTCCTAGGACAGCGAGGTCGCTATGATGATTCAAGCTAGCCATTCGTTCATCTGTGGCCTCACACGAGGAATCAGAACCAACCATCCTAAGTTTAGCACGCTTAGGGAAACGTAGGTGTCCAGGATCGGCCGCATCGCTAGGTTCCCGCATGCCCCTTTCCGGTACGGAGTCATAGAACCCACTCTGGTCCAGGTTGACCCTATACTCCCTCTTCCGAGAGCCTGAGCAATGTCCAATTCGTCTTGACTCCTGATGAAAGACCTCCCGAAATTCGCGAACAGAAGCTTCGCTACCATCGGCAAATATGGCCCTGAGAATCCTGCGGATATTCGCTCGAGCAGCTGTGGTCGAGATATACCGAAAAATAATGCTGTTAGAAAAAGTCTCGTTCCTTTTGTTGACCTTCTTTCCGTGTAGCCCTGTGCCTGGTGTATTTGGAACCTCACGGAGTTTTTCACGAGATTGCTCTGCTTCTGCGAATTCAAGTGTACACTGCATCCAGTCATTGTCTAGGGCATCGCACATAAGCTCGATCCAGAGCAGCCACCGCTCCCATCGTTCCGGGTGGAGGAGTGAGCAGTTAAACGCCCAGCCCACAGCGTGCCAGAAGTCCTCGGCGCGAGACCATACGGAGGCGGACCCACATAGATCAACACCAAGCGGCTTGGTCCAAGGGCTTGAGTCATTCACGGCTATCTCACGACGCAAACCTTGACGGGAGGCTTCGAAATGGGAAATGAAAAGGCCAGACTAAACTGGGCAGCGCGAGGTCCAACCACAGCATGAACGAGCCGGAGAAGTCGCAAAGCAGCAGAGGCCGCCTCGTTATCTGACAGCGGTAAGGCATGTGCTGTAGTAGACGGATGCACGAGAATAGTAGCGGCGAGAGCTAGATATGACGGTGGAGGGGTTATTATCGGTGACGTGGGAATAATGATCCCGGACTGGACAGTGCTCAACAAGAGATTGAGAGCTTGGGTATCTGGCACCTCATAACTTTGTTAACTTCCATTTTGGGTGCCAACTCCCCTCTCCAGGGATCGGTTGATTCAGAAAGCTAGTGAGCATCAAACGGAAATATTACATACAAAGCTTTTCCTCGATAAAGGCATTGCAGTGAGTGGCTAGCTCAGGGCTGAGTGGTAGGGATGGGTGATACGGCATCACGTCTTGGGAGACTCGTGGTTTGATGCAGGGTAAACGTAAAGATGCACAGAGGGCGAGGAGTAGAAAGCGTAAGTACTGTAGGCGGAGAAAAAGAGAGGAGAGATATGCTTGTGTCGTTTTATGTCCAGCCTTGTCGGTTAGAAGAGACCTTGGCACCCAGGTGATGTTCTGGGCATTTAGCCTGGTCACTCATGGGGCATGGTCACTTTTTCAAGGATCAGGTCTTTGGGAATGACGCGCGATCGACGATCGACCTCATCTGGGCATCCGCCGAACTCGCTGATCGCGGCCTTTGCTCTTCCGCGCAGCGACAGTGGCTATACGCCGCAGATTATGTGCCAGAGCTGACAGAACTTGACCTCGGCTGGAGCTCGCCTCCGGTAGGTGAAAAGAGAAAGTGTAGGAGATGAAAGGACGCAGGCTGGGAGACCTGGGCCATAGCTTGCCACGCACTGTTGGCACAACCGCCAGCATCGAAACCGCAGTCGAAACGATCGGCGAGTCGTTTAACGAAGCCGCCGAAGAAACAATGCCGAAAAAGAAAAAGAAACTCGACCGTACCCTGCCAGCGTGTCTTTCCGTCGTACACCGCTCTCCTCAGATGTCTTCAACATGTACTGTAAGTCGTCCATGTGCGGAAGTAGGCGCGTGAAACCCACAACAAAGACAGGCAAAAACGATACTGGCAGCTGTGCCACCTACTTGGCCGCGAGAGGAGGAAGATGGCGAGGCAGGAATGGAGAGAGACCCGTGGACGGGAGGGGAGGGTCGAAGCAGCGACCAACGTCATCAACAACTTCTGGGGCCTCTCGAAGGCCGCCCGAAAACAAGAACTGCATTCTATATTCGCCCCCACGCTTGTCTGGGCAAAAGGCAGCGAGCATGCGACGGCAAAAGAGAAATCTACAACACGCCCCCTTTCCCCCATTCTCATGCTTCGACGGAAATATATTTATCCAAACCCGGTCGACATGCTTCCATCGATCTCGCCGCCAAAATTCGTCGCAGCGATCAAGACAACTGCTTTCTTCTCCGCCCCTAGTGCGACAGACACCCTGAATGCAGCGCTCGAGCGAGCGATTCAGCTGCTGCCTACAGTTCTCTCATTTGTCAACGATTCTTGACGCCCGCCCCCAGCGAAACTACAGCCCTCAAAGGTTCCGCGAGTTGCTCTGCGTCGTCCTACAAAAGCCAGGGAGGGCAGATTGTACCAAGTCAAAGTCGTACCGTCCGGTATCTCTCTTGGAGACCTCGCAAGAGCATCGGTCATCGCATCTCGCCTTGGCTATGTCGTCGGAACTCACGCTCTTCTGCCAAAAACGCATATCGACGGTAGGGTTGGTCAATCCTGCGACCATTTCCTACATCCCGTACAAGAGAAGGTCCACAAAGCATGGCGCGGAGAGTATCAATGCGTCTCGCAGCCTACGCTCCAATAAATTGGTGCTTTCGACGAGGTCGTACACCGACCGACAAACTTTATAAATTACCTATACTAACTTATTAACTAAGTCACCCTACGTCCTATAAGAGGCACTAAAAGTATTAGAAACTAAATAGACTAGTGACCCACTACATATTTCCGTACTAGATTTGCTGGTCTTTAAGATTAACTGCTGTAGCATACAGGCTTTGGAAAAAAAAGCGCTGGAATAATGCTAGAGATATAGTGTCATTTATTATATACCTCCGATCAAAAGGATCGATCCAACTATCACCCGAGTAAAAATATGTTGTAGCTAGTGGATTGGATAACCTTTTGGAGTATATCAGAGATAAAGAAAAAGACGAGTGGTGGAGGCGGAATCTTGGTCTTGATTAAGAAGACAACAACAAATCAGAATGGAAGTTGTATTGAATGCTGTTGTACATCGTGGCAAACTGATATATCTAGAGGAAGAGTAATATTGTGAGGCCCAAGCCTTATGTATAGGGCTCTCTTGTAAGCGTGATTATTAGGATTTTGGCGGAACGCTCATTAGCCCAGGCCAAGACCAATTCACATTCACTTAAAGTCCGGTTAGGACTAACAGAGGACAGATATCTTTACTTTATGCATAAGACCATAAATATTGTACATGGGGGTTTAAAAGCAAGCAACATCCTTTTATCGACGACTAGAGGGGTTGAGATAGGTGTGAAGAAGCTGAATCTCAACCACCTGCTGTGAACACAGAGGCTAATACTGTGTAGCGAATATAGATACAGCGATCCTAGAAAAATCGACTAATAAAGGAACTAAAGAGGATGTTCAATAGTTAGACAAATTATTATTGAGTGTTTCGAACCATTTACAATTTTAGAATCCCAAATCAATAAAGTCATATTCTTCTCTCTAATTTTTTTGCCTGCGAGTCTTGCACAAGCTCCACCTCCTTTGCGGCTACTTCTCGTGCGAACCGGACGTATAACTTGAGGCAAGAGGGCCCTGGGAAAAACTTCAGAAAATATGCTAAACAATATTAGCTCCTGCTCCTGATAGCTAATCACTCCTCACTCGTAGAAGTTCTTGTGCTGAACTTGTCTTAGTTGATTCGACAAAGTCAACAGTTTTGGAATCCTAATTGTGTAGAATGCCGGCCGTTCATTTCGGTACTCAGGCTATTGTAGCTTCTGGTAAGGCATGTTGATTCGGGATGGGATGTCTCTTGCAAAATCCCGTAGCCACCGGTTCTCCCGATCGGTCCCTCTTGTAGCATAAGCGTGGTGAATCGATCTTTCAAAAAACCGGCCATTCACGATAAAAACTGCCTCGGATATCTGCCGTTTCCGTGGGTAATGAAAATAGATAGGAATATCTATATCCTAGAAATCATCCTTAGGTATATCAACCTAGAAGTACTATATCGAATACCGAAATTTATATAAATACATTAGGGATAGTCCTAGTTTTAAGAGCTCTGGTATACTCGATTATCAAAGCTATCTCTAGACCTGGACAGACCCGCGGAAAACCCATTTAACCCTTTAAGGTGGATGAATACCTTACCTATTATATGAGATTCATAAGTTATGTAGTTCTTAGCTGTATTTTTGGGTATTATATTTATTTTAGCTAAATCTAGATTTTTATATCTTTTTATATCTTTTCATACGGTAGGCACCTTAAGACCGGGGTTTTAAGGTGCTTTTAGTACTTTTTTGAGGTTTAAGAAGTCTCTGAATCTGAATTAGGTAAAAAAGAGGTGTTTAACTAGGCTATCTGTGTTTTGCTTTAAAGCTCGTAGTCATCAAGTGTTCTTGGGTGTTTACGAACCCTGCCAGAAACCCGTGGGAGGCCATTATTATTTTTATGATCTCTGATGGCCCTTTCTTGCAGTTGTTGGTAAGGAATATCAAAGTGATAATAAGATCTGTAGGATCCTCCTCCTCGTCATTGTCACTGATTAGCTCACTATCTTCATATGTCTTCTAGGTCTCCTTTTCCTCTTGTATAATTTCCAACTTATCCTGCTCTCGAAGCTCATGAATAAATACGAGCTGCTTCTCCTCAATCTCAAACTTGGTAACGCACATAAGAATCATTAGATCTTGGATAGTAGACGCATTTAGTGCCCCTCGTCGATAGTGACAGATATCACGAGCAGAATTAAATAACCGCTCAACACCAGTACCAGTTGCTGGAATTGAGAGGAGGTCACGAGCAAGACATGCAAGCGTCGGAAATTCAAATTGATGATCCTTCCAGAATTAACGAGGTGGGATTGGGACAGTATCTAAAAAGAAGATGATGATTAGAATTAAGCTATATATTTATATAATAGAAACTTACTTCCTTTAAGATACCGTGTCACCTCAGACTGAGGGCTTGTAGCAGATGAATTGGCTCTCAAAACCATATCAAGCTCACTAGTTTGATGAGAATGCTTTGTTTTGTATAGTGACCGAGAGCTTGGAATATTGTCGGTTTGGTAGTTCAGAAGCAGATTTTCCAGACTTTACTGGTATTGAGCGCCATAGTCCATTTGGGGATAGTCTCAGCCTTTGGTTTGAAAAATTTAATCTTAAATTGAGGGGCCAAAATGGTTCTAATTGCATAGATATCACCAAGCTCTTTGTTATCCGCCATAGAGTAATACTCGCGGAGTTTGCTCTTAGATGATTCAAGGGCTTGACCCATTTATTGTTTCCATCCAACCTTCTTTCTACTAAGCTGCCTGATTAATCTCTCAAGATGATCAAATAGCTTATTGTAGATAGTAAAGATAGTATGGAGTGTAACATCTTTTGTTTTTGAGAGGACTATGGTGAATTGAAAAATGGCTGGGTGATATTAAGGTAGTCGATCTGACGCCATTCATCTATCTTGATTATTAAATGAGGATGACCATGTTCAGCACAAAACCGATCAAAAGTTTATTGCAATCGTTTAGCACGCCGGAGCATCAAAAAGGTTGAGTTCCATCTAGTTCGGACATCTTAAATTGGAACTAGTCGAGGGTAGTCAAGCTGGAGACTAAGGAAGGACTCCCGACGTTGAGGGCTTACATTGATAAAAATCGTAAGGTTTCTAACCTAAAATCTAGAATATTTATTATTATAAATACTAGATAAGGGGTATAAGACTTATACCTTTAGGCGAGTTGTCGCAATATCCCTTTTTTGTGTCTTCTAACGGGCATATTAGGTATGTTCCTCAGACCAAACAGTGTCGGTTATCTCATTCTGAGGGTTCGCTTTCATCTGCCAAGTAGTTGCTTTAAGCTTAACTGAATCACATACGCAATACATGGAACCCGAATACTCATTACCTCAGTATCAATACTCAATAATTATATAGAATCTTGGGTGCTTGAAATAAGGGTAGACTTATTCGATGTATTGTCTGTTGTTACTACAAACACTCGGTCTTCGATCTAATGTTTCTGGAGGATATACAGGAGGGTTATACTAAGATTCTGCCCAGAGTGTATATCAGAAATAGGCTCAAATCCAAGTAAAACCCCCGATAAACCCAATCAACATCAATGAAATAGCCAGACATAGCCATAAATGCTTATTGAGATAGTTATTTCCAACAGTCAAGACTAATAGAAAGTTTAGCCTTAGGCGGAAGCTTCTGAAGTAGAACTTTCTGTTGATCCTGGGTTATTCCTTGGAATCGACGTTGGATAGTTCGACGGGAAGGGAAACTAGGGATGGACGATAATGACTGGGTCATTCGAAGAAGGGCTTGAAATTTAGGTTGCTCGATGGTATAAAAAGGAAGCCGTAGGGCAGTTATTGTAGTAACCAATTGCTGTTCCCAAAGCTCTTGGGTGACTGGCTGGGCTGTTCAAGGAGAGTTCTTGGCCTAGAAATGATTAGTCGATAAATTAAATCAAGTCCATATAGCATACTACATGTTCTATAAGACATTGGATTGTTGAATGTCTTGTAGTATTTTGACTTTTCTGGTATGCACCAGGGACCTATTGTCCCATTTCTGGTATAGACTAGGTGGTCCATAACCTCACCACACCGCTTACAGAGAAGCTTTGGCTCTTCTATTATTAAATGAGCCACTTGATCAAAGTACGACCCTATATCAGTCCGTCGTAGACTCTCCCAGTTCATCTTCTTTGTAGCATTATAAGAACCATTTTAGGTATCAAGCCACCAGTTTAAAAACTCTGCTTTACTCATACTATCGAAAAACACCCAAGTCTTTTTCCGATCATCTAAGCGTTTTAGTGTTGATGGTATAGAAGAAGAGAGGCTTGGCTCAGTTTGTTGGCTTTCTGGTGGTTCTGAGAGGGTATCAAGAAATTGATCGGAATAGAAAGTAGATTGTTCAAAACCCTCACTCTCAATAAGAGAGATTGGGTATAAGGTATATAATTAAGACATGAAATAATTGTAGTAACAAGTCAGAGTAAGGGACTTGAAATATAAATAATCTCTCTAAGATAAATCATTATGTTACGCGTACCTAACTGGTCACTGTGAGTTAGTCCTCAATGGTGATACTTCTCTTGGTAATTGCGAGCCTCAAGCCTGTCCTCAATCGTACCGATGCCACGCTAGGGATTACACAGGTAGATCCTGTTGGATGCTTGCAAGATGTGCCAGTTGAGTGTGCGCCGAATAGGTCAGTTCCGAAGTAGCTCCCCTATTCGTGGGATGGGTTGTCACGAAGGTGAAC